TCGAAGTAGTTTCAATTGCAATGCGTCTGCTTCGCAATTATTTGCACTGCGCAATGATGGCTCCAGCCAAGGGCTTCCTGCACACAATTACAGGGCATTGCAGACTGAGGTCTGAGGCGGAGGCAGAGATGCAGACACATAAGGCATAAGGCTCGGTGGCAGGAAGCGCAGCAGGGCAGCCAGACAGTAATCAGCACAGTCGGATGCATCGCAGAAATATCAGGAGAGTAGCAGCATTTCCTCCATTTCGGAGGGTTGACAGTGCCAAGCAGACCCTGCTGCTTGTCTTTTGTTTTCTATTTGCAATTTACATACGTTTTTCCTAGGCCTCCTTGCTCGCCGTCTGTTTGCCCCGCTTGTGTGTCTTGTTGTCTTCTCCCTGTCGTAAATTACAATTGCGGGCCTCCACCCTCAGGGCACGCATAGGCCACGCACGCATCTCTCTCGCTCTCTTTCTGTCGTTTTTATGGGGCAAGGGGTCCTGTAATCAAGGAAAGACGCAGATCCTGCGCCAGCTGTGCGGCAACTAGGAAACTTTTACCCAAGCCCAGGCCTCATATTTTATGAACATTATTTCTCTTACGTTTACTTTTTATTAAAAGAATAAACCAAAACATGCAGCAGTGCCCTCTTCTATGCGGAAATTAACCGAACAGCCCAGGGCGGGAGACACAATATTCAAATAATTATTTCTGTCTCTGTTATGCCAGGAACTTTGGCTCGCAATATTACATTTTGTTGACCAAATAGGAGCACTTGAGGCCCAGAAAACTGCCACGTTTGGTTTGCCACGTAAGCACGTTTTAAATTGAATCTCGCTGTGGAGACACTTGGAGCCAAGTAGCCCCAGGGAAAACAGACAAGTACGAGACAAGTGGACAACAAATATGAGCAAAAGAAGATGGGGATACATTAGGGGCTGCCAGGAAGAGACAGGCAGATACTCTTGATACACTCAGCGATCCCAATAAAGCGGATTAAATGCGATAATGGAGTTCAACAGCGTTAAAAGAGTTTCGTGGAAAAGTAATGGAGCGGAGTGCGCAATTAAATAACAATCATACGACACATCGAGCCACATTGAAACGGCAGTGAATGTAAAGTGGAAGTGCAGCATTATGCAAATTTATGGAATCAACAGCGTGAACAATGCCCAATATTTATGATTAAAGCATGAAAGGCAGCTGCTGGAGAAATGCTCAAAATTCTATAATGTTATCAGCTGACACATCGTCTCAATTTCCTTTTAGCTCTCTTAGATTTGATGTATTTTTCCTTAATGAAAAAGTATTTTCAATAGCTTTGCCGACAGGCAGGCATACGTATTTTGACAGCATAGAGTTGAGAGCGTACCCTTGGAAAAGCACTTACAAAACAACAATTGGGGGTGGCACAACCCCACACAAGAAACATTATCTTCCAGCCATTGTTTTGTTTTGGCTTTGGAATTGTTCGTACTGCACACAACGGAGGCTTTTGGGAAAGAGAGCGAATAATTTTTGCAAAAATTTAACCATTCCACAGATGCCGCCGCAGGGCGTAGTACAAAACAAAACTATTACATGGCACACACGTACACTCCAGACACACCCCTGCCATACGAGTGATGGCTGCTGCTGCTGCTGCTGCTGCTGCTGCATTTTGCCCTGTTGTTCGTGAAACAAAAACATATCGAAAAAAGGGTCAGCCGCAGGTGAAATCTCTTCTTTATGCTTATGCCTTCGTTTCTATTTTTTTTGGTTGTAGTATTCGTTGGTGTTGTTTTTTGCTTGCCCCACGCTGAGCTGCTTTCGAATGTAATGCAATCGATTAGCTCTCCGGCAGTTGGGCAAAACAACAACAACAAAAAAACATAAACCATGAAAGCAAACATCGGGCGACAGGCATCAAATATGCATTGAAATGGGAATTGCAAGGGACCCACCGATGCGATGCCTAGATAAATATTGACTCTCGCCACTTGACAATGCATATTTGAATAGCTATAAACCGTATATAAAAATTCAATTAATTATGAGCAGCTTAAAAGGGATCCCGTCGTGTGTTCGTGGCTTTTGTTGTAAATGGATTTTTGCTAATGCGTTTGTGGCTTTCCGGCAATTTCCTTGAAGCGCTCGCAGTGGGGTCCAATGCATCGAGTTGATGGTTTTAAAAAGTTGAAAAAATGGTGCGGAGAGGGGACTGTGTAATCCTCTTAAACAGGAACGTTCAGCAGATTTTGTATTTTGACAGACAATTACGAGTGGATTACCCAATAAGAAGATGAGTCAAAATTAAAAGTAAAACCCCTTATGGGATAATAACTCATGATTTGATGTCCCTCTTCCTGTTTCGCATACCCAGAGACAAGTTAGAAAAAAGAGCGAATGAATAAATTGTGTAGAAAAAAAGAGACTTCTTTTATAACTCGTGCACACATGCCACACACTCAGAGGATGTCACGCCCCATCCCTATCGGAGGCAGGCAGCTGTGAGAGTAATGAGCTTTTTGTGTGCTAGGCGCAATTTTTAAATGCATTAAAAAGTGTTACACTCGAGTGCCGCACATTTATCACACACACACAACCAGCAGCGAGAGGGGAGAGACTAAAGTCGAGCCTCTGTGGGAGAGCCGCATAATGGAAAAAATCGCATTTAAATTGTTTGGCTCACAAATAAATTGTTATAATTCATCACTCAACTTAACTTGGCGACGAAAACGTCTCTGAAATAAATTGATTGACTTCAATTCAATTGAATTTTCACAGCAACGACAGCCAGCCAGCCAGCCAGCCAGCCAGCCAGCCAGCAGTGGGTGGGTGGACCCCGTGCCAAGTGCTGAACAAAAATTATTATGCTTTTTCCGTATGAGTTATATACATGAATTGCGGCTCGGCAAATAATGCTTTGACAAAAGCATGACAGACACTTTATTAGGTTTCGCTATTAATTTGCATGGATTTTTCATTGCGTATGCGTACGGCACAGCGATTCCCACGAAAGGCCAACAAAAAGTGTGGAAAACACAGAACAAAATATATATGTATTCAAATATATTTTATGTACAATGTTGTGCTGTGCATGGAGTGGCGCGCAGTGACAGCAAAATCACAAAATTCCATTAATTTGAAGCAGTCAATCAAAATTGGCAACTCAAAGTCGATTATATTATGCTAATGAATATCTGGATGGCCATGGACTTGGACACCAAACTTGCTCCAGACAGATGGGCACTGCCGGTAGAGTCAGTCCCGAGTCAGTTGCAGAAGCCCACACAAGCCCTCAGTGTCTCTGAATCTTAATCAGCAGCAGAGTCGGAGTCTGCCAAAGGCCAGACATATGTACATAAGTCATCGACCAGCATCATCATTCATTATTATTTATTATTTGTATGGCAAGCACATGGCATATGTATGAGGTGAAGAGTCAGACAGAGAGCGAAAGGAAGTGCAACTTAAAGTCACTCCGGAGCACTCCCCTAGAACAACAAATTAACCCGGTGCCGCATTTAGTTATGCGAACTTGCTAATTGAGAGACATTTCATTGGTGCACTTAATTGTGCTTATTGTTTATATCACATTTATAAAGCTGTCATTTCAAGTTTAGATAAATGAAGTTATGCTGAAGTGGCCATTCGCATTCACATGGGTCCAGTCCATCTGGCAAATACTCACATGGCATCCTGTGACTATTGGCCATCTCGAGTGCTTTGTCAACTCAACTAATGGTCGATTTCTGGGCGCAAACATAACGCTTGCCATCTAGACAGCGTGCAATAATATTTGTTTATGCAAATTGAATTTAATTACAACATAAACATGCGCATTGACTACCCGCTTTGACTCTGCTGCTCTGCTCCTCTGCTCCTCTTCCTTCTCACAATCCAGCCATGTGGTGCCTCCTGCCGAGTCTCAGGTCTTGTCAGAATGTGAGATATTTGGAAAATTTGCGGTTGCCTAGCGTTAATTTGCAAAAGCCACAGCAAGGCACAAGAATGGATGCCGAAGTGAAGACAAATGAGATTAAGGCGCAGCCAGTAACCTCAGAACTGTCTCCCTCTCTCCCATCTCTGCCTCTGTGTCTCTGTCTTTTGCTTCTATTTCTACCATATTTTACTCTTTCTGTAGCTATTAGCAATTTAATGGCAACATCATCAGCCGCCGCACACATTAAACATCCTTTGGCAACGGCATTGAGTGGAATAGTTACACACCGCACACACACACACACACACACACACACAAAATGAGAATTGTTGTCTGTGTTAGTGCATGCCTCATGCCACGTAACGTTTTAAAAACTCGTTTAGCCATGTTGTTGAACCCAAAACCAAGTGGAAAACTAGCTCACAGAAGCAGAAAAAGCGCGTAGTAAAAAGGGAGACACGAATACAGAATGCTCTTATACAACCCAAGCCCAATCTATGCCCTGCTAGACTCAATCTCTACACATAACATAAAAGGTTTGACCTAGCCTTCAGCCATCCACTCCTACACTCGCAACAAACTCCTGCCAAGAGCCAAGTTACCTTCCATTTGTGTTGTACAAAAAATGGAAATTTCAAAAATGCCTCAAACGCTCTCTCACACTCAGCCACACCCACACACAGAATAGAGGCATAGATACATAAACCATGTTTCGGCAACACAAATACAACACAGGCACAAAAATGGAAATGGCTACAAAAAGCTATGAAAAAGTGAGAGACGGAAACTGAATATCGAACACGTTTCTTTACTCTGCCCGCTGTATGCCACATGCGGCTCTGCCTCGCCACGAATGTTTGCGCCCAGATTTATTCGGCATTTCATTTACATTTATATGTACGAGTAGGAATGTACATATGCACATAGCAAATACCAACTGATATACACATGTATGTACGAGTATTTATGTGTAGAGTAACTAAACGCCCATGTTTGAGTGCTGCAATTGTAAATAGATTGTTGGGGCATGTTCTTTAGGGTAACATTTATTTGATTCCACGCTTACAGTTCCTTTTTTTGTACTCCATTTTTAGCTACTGGGCGGTGACCAACATTGACTACATCCATTCGAGGACCAGCAACCGGGTCTTCATGATGATCTTCTGTGTGTGGACGGCGTCGGTGATTGTCTCGCTGGCGCCGCAATTTGGCTGGAAGGATCCGGACTATCTGCAGCGCATCGAGCAGCAGAAGTGCATGGTCTCGCAGGATGTGTCCTATCAGGTGAGGACAGGCGAAAGCCCACTGCTGCCATTTGGCCATGATTTATTTTCGCTATCCCTTGCGCAGGTTTTTGCCACCTGTTGCACGTTCTATGTGCCGTTGCTGGTTATCCTGGCGCTTTATTGGAAAATCTATCAAACGGCCCGCAAACGCATTCATCGTCGACGACCGCGGCCGGTCGCTGCGGCTGTCAATAATAATCAGGTAAAGTGCAATTTGGATAATCGCATCTCTCTCTCTCTTTCTCTCTCATTGCAAATGCCTGCAAAGGGGGAGGGAAACAGGGCTATATTTACAGATTTTGTAGGCTTAACTGTAGCGTAAATTACCAGCTAAAAGCTTTCACCGACTCGAGTGCCGTGAGGCCACACCCTGTATGCCTACCTCGAATATTCTCTTACGCTTTCAAGGCAATGTCTGCTGAAGCAACCCCCAGTAGACGCGAGTTGCAGCATCTTGGGATGCAGACCACAGCCTGGCAATTGCAATTATGCACTTCAACGATGTTAACCGCTTTGCGGCCACAGCCATAGCATCGACCCAGAGATAAGGGTCAGTCAAAGGCCAAACCGCAGGCAACAAGGAGAAGGAGAAGCACAAGCTGCCACAGCCACAACCCTTTCATTGCACATGACTTGCGGGATGGGCGGTGGTCGGAGAGTATGTGGCAACGACGCTTTTCCGCTTAAATATGCATAACATACTCTCTTAGATTAGGCGGCCAAATGGGAATTGGACTAGGACTTTGACTGTGATTGGGACTGGAACTGTGGGCAGTAATTAGGCAACATCATCCCAAGTGATTAAAGATGCATTGCTTAAGGGACCTTGGACAACGAATGAATGTATGCGCATATCCTTGCATAGACGAAAGAAAGGAGAAATGGTCTTAAGTTAAGTATGCGCCACGTGTACATTAAAGCCATCTCGAGCAGTCGGTTCAAAAAGAGGAGAAAGTTGAGCGATAAGTGGCAGCCAAGGAAACTGACAGATTGTCTTGACTTCTTTGTGTGTGTGGCTCTGTGTGTTTGAATGTTTTTTTGGCCAGAAGTTTCTGGCTTAATGCGGCAGCTGGTCAAACTAATACCCGAACTGTACACCCAGAGGATAACTCTCGCAAAAACTCTGGACAAATTGCAATTTTGTTTTTGTCCAGCACACCCCCGAACATTTCAACAATTTTCAAGTTGTGTGTTCGTGGGGAGGGAGCTAAAGTCATTTTTGGTCTGCTCAACTTAAGCCGAAAGAAAATTAAGATGCAGGTTAGGGTATCCGGCAACTGGCAATCTATTATTATAGGCTCTCGGCTCTCTCGGCTCTCTCGGTATTTTCGTCCCAAGGATTCTGAGACATTTCCTTGTGGGGCGGCCGCTACTTAGCTTAAGCTTAGTGCTTACTAAATGGAAAATGACCATTTGACGTAGAAATGTTTGCCAGCACTTACCTATACACGTGCACATGCACATACATATGTATGTATGTGTGGACAAAAGCTGGCCAAGAGAGACAGAGAGAGAGAGAGAGAGAGAGCTGGCAAAAAGTCATTGGAATCACAAATTCAATGCGCAAACAAGACAAGTTGTCCACTATTTGCCAATCGTACACATGTCCTGCCGCGTGTCTTGCCCACCCGCGTCCTCTCCCATGTGCTGCCCCTTGTCCTGCCACGATCTGGCTCCACATGCGTGCCTTAGTTACATGTCAACACACTTACCCGTCCAATCGTCCAAACGTCCAGCCACCTCCCAATCCACCGCACGACCCATACGCATCCATTTAGTGCCTAGTCCACTCACTCTAGTCCTTTCTATCCTACTATTCCCATGCCCTGGCATGCTTGTTGATTTTAAAATATATTTACCCTACACACAGACACACACACACACACACACACACACACACACCCATAGACGCACTCTCATTTGGAATACCGTACAGGAAAATAGGGGGGGATTGTCCTCAGAGTGTGTTGACTATATGATCAATTTTGAAAGATTTGCAAGGAAAGTTCTTGCGGTAAGAGGGAATAAATACATTCGAGATTCAATGGAAAGAGCATCTGTGGTTCGTCCCTCCCTATGGCTCCTGTTCAACTCTCTTGTTATTCATTGGGTTACTTTGACTTCGTTCTCTGCTAACTAAATGCTTTCAAATTGAAAATTGTTTTCCTGCTACTTGACGAGGGTGCAGCATCACACACAAAAGAAATATCCATACGAGTCGTCCCTGTCCCTGTCCCTGTCACTGCCCCCTCACCCGTCGCGCCTTTCAGCTTGTGTAGTGCGATGCCTAACTATAGTACATATTTACATATAACGATTCCGGTGGGAGAGGACATGGATTTTAAGTTAATTGCATTTGCTTTCGGTCTGTTTATTGGGCAAATTACTAAATAATTCGATGGTGCAAATGATTTAAACTGCAGTTGTGGCATAATCGAATTCCCAAAACTATCAAAAGTTGCCAATACTGAATAATTTAGCCCCAAAGTCATTCTCTCAGTGGGTTTGTAATTTTAATTGAAGTTTAGTTTTTAGTACACACACACACACACACGCACACACTTGGTGATTTATCAATTAACATATGACAGGGTGGAGGACGGGGGACGGGAAACAGCAAATGGCAAATGGCAATTAAGGGAAATTCGATCAAACATGTATTATCTGTAATTCGGCTATTGGCACTGTGTCAGAGAGCGAGCATCGAACCAGTAGATGTTATTAATAATTCACCAACAGAGGCCACCCAAATGCCGAATGCCCAGGGACAATCACTTTATGTAGATGGATGCTTGTCCAATGCTTGTCCGCCCACTAACCTGAACATCCTCGTGGCCAATACATTTGTAACAACATCTCGAACTGATTGCTCCCGATATTGACATAGAAAGAAGAGAGAGAAGAACCCGGCAGACACATGAGTGAAAGGCATATTTGTCCAACGCAACATCTGCGACACATGACGCCGACGTGTTTGAAAATATTCATACAAAGAAAACGGAGAAAACTGCTCAGCAAAAACTCTGAACATGCATTCAAAAAATTAAACGGAAAGTAAAGGCAACTGGTTGCTCTTTCCTTTTTGGGCAATGCTGTTATGCCATAAAGTTTTTGCTACTCTTCTCCCTCACCCAAGAGAGAGAGTGAGATCACCAAAACAACAACATGAGTGCCGTCTCTCTTTCCGATGTGCTCTCATTTGACTTTGACTTTTGTGTTCTTCCTCTCCTACGCCAAGAGAGCGAACGACCACTTGTTAATGCAACGGTGAATGGCGAGAAGGGGAAAGCGCAAAAACAAACAGCAAATGCATCAAGCGACAAAAGCAAAGAGAGGGAAGAAAGAAGAAGCCAGTGTGGGATATTTTGCTCTCCGCCAATGTTCTTTAAAATAGAATGTGTGCAGGAATTTATATTTACATTTTTGTAGAGTAAAAGAAATTTCTTGCCATCACACATCGCTGGGAAGCCGTTCTTGCATTTGATTTCATTTTATTTAGTTGAGATTTATTTTTATTTCCTTACTGGCTTTCCTGCTGGCTGTCCTGCTGGTCCCTAGCCCCACTCAAGTCATAAATTTTGTTGGCCAGTGTAGTTAAGACCAGGGCATTCTTGTCACAGACAGGGCCGACATAAATCGCATGAAAGACACATTATTGAATACACACACAGGCGGCGTCACACGCACGTTGGCCGCCATACACACATACATATTTTTATACGAATACATACACATGTACATTGTACATATGTATGTATGTATATTTTGAAAGCTGAACACATGTCCCAGGCAAGGAAAACAATTAAATAAGAAAACAATTTACATAAATTAGCCAAAAGTGCCAAAATGGGCTAAGGACAGAGACGGAAAGACAGAGGAACAGACAGAGAGAAAGACAGAAGTGTATCGTTTATGCGAACGCTTAAATACAAACAAGCAAAGAATCATAGAAGGCAGCAAGGAAGCCAAGAGATATGTGAAAGAATCGAATGGCATAGAAAGCACATCTACATAAAATACACATTGGGGCCTCGTGAGGTTATCCTCATCGTTATCGTTATTGCCTGCTGAAAAGTATGCTACACAAGTGTGGAGAACGCTTATCGCTCTTATCTCCCAATACACGCACGTGGTAAAGCCTGTTCGTGTGCGTGTGTGTGTGTGTGTCTTTATTTACTTTGGTATTTAAGCAACACGCAAGTACTTCAGTTTTTGCCATCTTCCAGAGACAACATTTCCCTTGGGAGAGTGCGAGAAAGGGCGGAGAAACTTCCCATCTAAATATAAAATGTTTACCCGAATAGCCTTGGATTTGGCCTTGGATCTAGCAAAAAATGTAACTCAAATTATGAAAGAATCTCGCCTGTGGCTGCTTCCCTGTAACGGGGCCAGCCCGAAGGTCTGTCTCGTGTCCTCTTTCTGTGCGCCTAATTAAGCACAAACTCTTTAATATTTAATAAGCCATCTGACCGTCCGTAGAGGGTAGCCCTGACATCTACGTCTCCCGAACCCACAAGACACTTGAGGAAAAGTTTATGCCCTTGGGCGAGAAGCAATTTCACCCACAAAATAAAGGTCACATGCATAGAGGAGCTGTAAATCCATTTAATACTATTTGCGCAAATATTCACACCATTTCTCGGATGTGGAACCACTCGAACCCGAACCCTTTTTCGGGGCTGCTCCTCAAGTTTCCGCACACGAAGGCAAAATCAGCATAATTTTATTTATTTAAAGCAATATCGACTTTCCAAAGGGTCAACAGCCACGACCAAGACGACAAAGATGACGATGCTGCTGTCCATGTTGTCCGAGCCAAAAGGTTCGACTACTCAATTACTTTAATTTGGTGGGATTGAAGGCAACAAAGAATCAGTGGCAAGAAATGTGTTACCAGAACTTTGATTACACTGCCTCCTGCCAGTCTCCTCTGCGGAAATTCTTAGACAGACGATGATTAAGAGCAAACTCTAATTATGCATAACACTTCATAGGGCAGTTCCATAGCTCAGCTCGCAGTTCATTCTAAATACCCTAACAACAAAATAAGAAAAGGATTTGCGGCTGTTGGTTAAGTAGAAAAATCAAAGAGGTCAAGCGCTGGGAGCAGTCAAACGTGAAATTTATTTCGGACAGGGCGTGGTTCTGGGCCTTCTGAGGGTGGTAAGAGGCTGCTCCTTGGGTGACTGTAACAAATACACACAATTTATTTACGGGACGGGAAGGGCACCAACTTACATATGCATATGGCAGAATGGGCAGCGCGGCGGGGCGAAAAAGGGGCACCGGATCGGATGGGATCTTAAGGCTTGGGACTGTGGCGTTTGATATGCGTACAAATTGCGGTTTATTGAAGCGTGAGGCCCAGAAAGCAAAGCAGAAAGAAAATGCAAATTTCGCCCCCACTCCCATTAATGCTGTGCGAAGAAGTATGAATTTAATTTGAAGTCATGTACAATACAGGTCAGGTCAAAGGCAGCACGGGCAGGGGCACGGCCACGGGCACAGAGCAGAATGCAAAAATCAATGCAGATTGAAACTATAGAAACAAGTTGTTGGCATCCTCTCAGCTCTCTTACTCATTCTATCTTTATGTTGCCTCTCTTACAGCCGGATGGAGGTGCGGCAACAGATACAAAACTTAATCGACTGCGTCTACGCCTTGGAAGATTCTCAACAGCCAAGACCAAGAGCGGAAACCTAGCAGGAGGAGCTGGTGGCGCTGCGGCAGTAGGAGCAGGAGGAGGCGGCGGATCCACTGGCACGGCCCTGTGCCTGGTCGAAGGCAACTCGACAAATACGGTCAACACTGTGGAGGACACCGAGTTCAGTAGCTCGAATGTGGATAGCAAGAGTCGTGCTGGCGTCGAGGTATGTACCAGAATGACGAGATGAGCAGCAGAAGCATTATACACGTACACACGTAGACACACATTTTTGGGTTTAAAGCAAAATTTCATAACGCCTGACATGTGCCCAACGATCTGAGTTGAGGCTTTGCTTCCTGTTTCCCAGAGTGCACGCACGCACACAAACGAAACCGAGGCACACGCACAGACACACACAGCCACGCAGAGATAAGCTGACCAAAAATAAACCCACCAACACCCAGCAGATGGATGGAGTGGATGGGACTTCCACTCCCACTTCATCTCCCATCTCTCCCATCTCCCATCTTCAGCTCATTTCTCTCTGTTTATTATCCAACTATCATATGCCCTCTCTTTCGCCAACCTTCGGGGGATTCAAATGATTTTTCCTCTTGGCTACCTTTTCGGGGAGTTTTTCTTTATATTTGCCTGGGGAACCCTTCGGGGTTCCTCTTGCCTCTACGAATGTCTCATTAACCTACCTCTCGTTCCAACGATATGCACTTGAGAATTCCGTGAGCAATATTCTTGGATAATGATCTGGGCTCTTCGCTTTGGGAGTTGTTTTTCTCCATTTTTTCGCACCAGCGAATCTTAATGTACTTTTTGGTACAAATATTCCACGCTGTTTTCTGGTAACACATTCTAGTGGATATTCTGTTCAAAAACTAAGAGAATTCTGACTAATGTAACCGAAATGTTGATTGTAATTTGATGGGCGGGCAAAGTCTTAAGTGCACGGATAAGAAATACAGCCCACAGAAAGACGGAGGCACTGTCCCGTCCACTTGAATCGCAAATCCAAGCAAATTACCCGCCACTCGACAGAAATGTCAGCGATAAAATGCAGGCAAAGCTTTCTGTTTATTGGTTTGAGGATATGGGGCAGGCTTCGGGTATGCTGGCTGGGGATTGCGATTGCCTGATGCCAAATTTGTATTTAGCCGCATTTTATGTACTTCAATTTTGGGGGCAGCGATTTTATGGCTAAAAAATAATCCAACCGGCGGCCACACATTCAATAATAACACACATTAAAGTGGAGACGGGAAAAAACCATAAAAGAGCAGAGCCAAAATAAATTGCTTCAACGTTTTGTTTGCATTGCCACAAGGCAAGCAGGCTCTCCGTTTGCTACACTGCCACTGTCACGGCCACTGCCACTGCCTCTGCTGGTGACGAGAGGTGGCAGAGTAAAGTCGAGTGGTCAAAGGTCAGGGAGCAGAGCAGAGCCAAATCGCCAGGTTCGTGCCGGTTAAGTAATAGCAAAGTCAAATATAAGCTGTCACAAGGATACGCTTCCTTCCTTTGCTGCACAAACAGCGAGAGAGAGATAGAGAGGTGGATGGCAAGAAAGAGTACGAGTGAATCAAATAAAAACAAAATAGCAACAGTCAGTTAAAGGTGAATTAAACAGGAGGTAAGACACATGCACTAATCGGCTCGGGGTACACTAATTTGTTTGAAGATCTCACACTCACTCGCTGTGTCTCTTGTTTTCATTTATTTTTGTATATTTTGCGGTGTGACCAACTCCTCACCTACTGCAAAATATACCTTGGAACTGAAAGTTGGTTAGGCTTTTGGCTCTTCGAATCCCAAAACCTCTGGATTCGGGGGGTGTGGATGGGGGCGCCTAACAAGGCACTCAATACGCTTGAGTAATTGAGAAAAATATGTTGATGGCTTATGGCTAACAGCTTTCGTTTCCATTCGCTTGGCCGAAATAACAACGCCAACTGTATTTGGTATTTGCCTTGGCATTGCTTTCCCTTTGTCCACCCCCCCCCCCCCCCACACTCGCCATGCCAGGTTTCGAGGTTCCACCGACACGCACACAATCTTGTCCATAAGATTAAATATTTACTTGGGAATGGCTTCTGCACACCTCTCATTCTCCCTTGCCTGCCCCCTGCCTTTGCTCACTCTTCTCGTTTGCAAATAAGTGGACAGCCGAATAAATAAGCAAACACACAGGCAGGGCCAAGAGCAAATATATAAATGTATTATTATAGTTGTGTGTGTGTGTGTGTGTGTGCGAGTGTGCGTTAAATATGAGCCAAAGTCCGACCAAGCTGCGTGCATGAGCTGTGCGCTGTGCTGCAAACAAAACAAAGCGAAAAACAAAAACAAAAACAAACAAAGGAGAAGAAGAGACGGAGAATGAATGCAAAATGTAGGGGAATTAAATCGAAACAAATGCAACGAAAGAAAATATTTGTTAAGTTTTCCCCAGTTACATTTCCCCGCAACGCAGTGCTTAATTTATGAATCTCTGTTGCCGCAACAATGCACCGCCCTACTCCCCTACAACCCCCCCCCCCCCTCCTTCCTTATTAAAGAGCAAAAATAACGAAATTCTTCGAGCTGCACACTCCACCCCCGGCATTGTTCCTCTTTGTTCGGTGTGTCTCTGTGCAAATTAAACTACATTCTGTCTTTGTTGAAGGTTTGTTGGCTTCTATTCTGCTTTGATTTTTCGTTACCTTCTGCAAATGCATTTCTCAAAGCATTAAAAATTCTATGGCATCGTTGGAGAGAGAGAGAGAGAGAGAGAGAGAGAGAGAGAAAGAGAGAGAAGTTTCCGAATTGAAATTGGAAATGGTCGCAACTAGAATTTGTTGGCATTCGTTTCACAACACTACAAAGGCTGTAACAAAAGGTTGCAAGCAAACAAAACACACACACACACACACACACACACACCGTCCACATATGTTTCTTATTTCGCTTTTGTCATGGACAATTTGCCAATGGGCATTGAATTTAATGTCCAGTCCTAAGCCCCGACCATTGTTGGCAAGTGCATTTTTTGCTTTGCTCTCGAATTTGAATGTCTTCCTGTTGTAGTCCCTGGGACCGGGACCACGGCCAGGGCACAGCCATTACACACGCCTATAACAATATGCTCCGCAATGTAGTATGCTATCAAAGTCCTTAAATTCATTTGGTCCAGGCACCAACAGGCCATTAATTGAACATGGCCTTAGGCTTCCTTATTTAGTAGTTAAGTGATGAACAGCCTGCCCACTTAATTGATCACCGTTTGCACTTTGTTGTATTTCACCATCGATAACGATACTCTGAAGGTATGTTGCGATACTGCACTATCGATAGGATCACGAAGTTTCCAATTGTTTGTATTTCTGACTCTGTACTGAATAAGCTTAAACCAAAGTAAATCTCAAGTGCATCGCTTCATTATACGTACTTTGCTATGTCAATTTTAGAGCTTCCCGTATAGAAATAAATAACGATCGTGTCGTGGCAATACTATCGGCTGCTAGGGAGGCTCCAGGGTCCATCCTTAATTGTTATCGCTGGCTCCATGTGGCTCCAGCTGTGGCCCGTAGACACAGTTTATAACACATAAAGTTAATTTTAGCACTTCACGCTTATGCACATAATGTGGCCAGCAGGCCGTTGTGCCACTTCCGACTTGCCCACACCTATGCCCGTCTCAAATTACAGGTGATTATATGAATTTTAGTGCTAGGCAAAAGCCCAGGGCCCCAACCGGCACGGCACCATCGCACCGCAAATATGTAACATCCGACAATTTGGCTCGAGTAGTCAGCCCTTTCTGCAGGCACAGCACTCTCTCTACACTCTACACTCTACGCTCAACGCTCTACTGTGTGGCGCTGCCTGATAAGCAGCAGGAATAGCCGCTGGGGGTCGGGGCTTGTGGGTAGGTTTGCGGGGCCCAAAATGGCCAACAAGCTTAACGAAAGCAAATATTTACACACTGATTTTATTCATTTACAAAATTTATAACCTCCACTTCCACTGGTGGCGGTAAAAGCGCCATGAAAATTGACGAGCCAGCCAGCCTGAGGGCCTGGGACAGAGCCCTACTAAATAAATTTATGAATGCAATCCGAATGATTGGTACGCGCGTGTGGCCAGCGCTGATTTAAAATGCTAATTTTGCGTATGAAATTTGACTTTGGCCCTCTCCCAGAGCGGATATGTTTTAAATGTTGAATTCCCTTCCCTTGCAGGCACCCAGCTCATCGGGCAACCAGATAGCCACCGTCTCCCACCTGGTTGCCCTGGCCAAGCAGCAGGGCCAGGCGGCAACAAAGTCGGTGGAGAGCAATGGCGCTGTAGAGATTGGCTGCGGCGGGGAGCACGAGCCAGCAGCCACAACCGCAACATCAGCAATGCCGGCGGTGGCCACGGGCATCACAGCATCAGCAGCAGCAGCAGCAGCAGCAGCGCCAGCAACGGCAGCCGCATCCCCCACAGCAACAGCAGAAGCAGCAGCAGCAGATGGGGAATACTGCGAAGAGGGCAAGGCGAATGGCTCGGGGGCTGCCGTGGAGGTGCTCGAGGATCCTCAACTGCAGCAGCAGCTGGAACAAGTGCAGCAACTACAAAAAAATAGCAAATCCGGTGGCGGCGGCGGTGGTGGGGGGGCGAGCACTTCGAATGCCACAACGATTACATCAATATCAGCACTGTCCCCACAGACGCCCACAACGCCGACAGTGGGTGGCGGCCCTGGGGCACAGCAGGCGGCCGGTCCGATGACGGCCAAAACCAGTACGCTGACAAGTTGCAACCAGGAACATCCGCTGTGCGCCTCCACCAGCTCCATGCCCGTGACGCCCGAGCCGCGATCCAAACAGCACCCGGGCTCTGCTCATCCCGCGGGGCAACAGCAGCAGCTGTCGAGCATTTCCAATCCCATGCAGAAGGTGAACAAGCGCAAGGAGACGCTGGAGGCGAAGCGCGAGCGGAAGGCGGCCAAAACACTGGCCATCATCACGGGCGCATTCGTGGTCTGCTGGCTGCCCTTCTTCGTGATGGCCCTGACGATGCCCCTGTGCGATGCATGCCAGATCAGCGACAGCGTGGCCTCGCTCTTCCTCTGGCTGGGCTACTTCAACTCCACCCTGAATCCGGTAAATAAAACAAATACTCGTGGGCTAAGTTGGTGCTCAATTCATTAAGCTTAGCTTAGCATTCATTTGGCGAATGAGTTACTGGTATTCCCATTTCTTGTTGTCCAGGGGGCACACATTGTTTATCTTCAGCCAGTTCGAGATGCAATGCAAATGATACTCATGCTGGCATAGACCCTTCGCAGTGGGGCAGTCCTCGGCGGTCTTCACAACATCACTGGTCTGGCAATCGATGCAAACGTCGCTCAATTGGTTGCGGCAAATGGGGCAAACATCGCCAGTATCGTAGGACCAGACTGCAAAGGCGTTCCAAATTTTCACCGCAAAGCGTGACACTTTAGCGATGCCCTTGGCGATGTCCGATGCCGGCTGCTTATCAGCTTCCTTTTTAGTTGGTTCTGACATTTTTCTTTGCCAATTTACGAAATGTTTTAGCAATGATGTGCTGCCGTCCGAGTGTGAAATGCAAAAGAGGCCTGCAAAAACTTGCGCCGCTCTGACAGTAGAAGCCAAGATAGCGTCACATTTGCAGCATACTGAAGGAACTAGTTCTTTTAATTGTCTTTCGGTATTATATGTATATAACTAATTATTCGATAACTTGAATCCACCAGTTACCGATTCAATGCCACTCTGGTTAATGCTAACTTGATCATGCCCATCTTTCAGGTCATCTACACCATCTTTAGTCCGGAGTTCCGGCAAGCCTTCAAGCGCATTCTATTCGGCGGACACCGGCCAGTCCACTATCGCAGTGGGAAGCTTTAGATAGTGCACGCGAAGAGGCGAAGGTGAGTTCCCATTCACAGCTCTTATTACATTATCGCTCTACACTTTTTGCAGCTGATCCGGGGGGAACACGCACACCAAATTGCATTCGCTTTTATGTGTTTCCAATTTGTGTCTGCGGTTTCAATTTTCCATCGACCTTATCCTGATATTGATATTGCCACCGTTGAGTGGAGTGTTTATTCGAATTTGAGGTCAAGGATGTTTTCCGCTGCTCCTCTCAATTTTCCCTGACATGGCGGCGACTGTAACGGCAATGGCAACGGCAACGGCAACGGCGACGGCGACAACGAGCCGCGTTCGCATTTGGCTGGCAGACAATCACCATTCTGCTGCCATGGATTTTGATGTTGAACGAAGAGGGCTTGAAACAATTCGCCAACTGTTGGGTGGGAGGCAAAACTTTCAGTGGGCCACTCAACTGTGGCTAAAATGAAAGTTTTATCAAACCTTTATCGGCGCTGTCATCTGCATGCGACGATTTGGATTTGGTCAATGCAGCCACCGAATCCGGATGGGCCAGCCCAAGCAACTCCAGACGCCAGCGGCCATTAGAATTATGCCACAATGCGAATTCCATTTGCATGTTCCCAGAGCCCTCCCCCCCCCCATTACCCAACTGCCATATACTGGTATGGTATGGGTGGGAATGCTTATCTACAAAGACGCAAGGGGCCCACAAGCTCTCCAGCAGAGCAACAGCTTTGAATAGTTTCATTTGCATTGCATTGTGGAGTGGAAGTGGGAGTGGGAGTGGGATGAAGGAGGGTAATGGCTCAGAATTGGAGCAACTGAAGCCAAGCCGACCACCCATCTGCATGTGGCAGCAGCTAAATCCCAGCCATTCATCCATTCATTTCCAAAGGCAACATGAAAGTTAAATTAAGTAACATTAATTTCAAACATTTCTGCCAAGTTTGGCGCCTGTGCATTTCAATGAACTTTTTCGTGAATAATCGGATATAAAAGTTTTCCCCACCCACACACACACACACGCACACGCACAAACACTTTACTAATGAATCTTGTAAATTGGACTCCTTTTTGCAGACGCTTCTGCTAAGCCGGCAAGTGGATGCAGGTCTTGCCTCTTCGGCGGTACACAACAGATATTCGGGGGGGGCAGAGAGCAGAAAAACAAATTGTATACTCAAAGAGGACTTACGATGACTTACGATGGATGCATAAACCCAAAACCCAATCCCTAGAACATAAGAGGGTGTAAATAGTTGAGCTAAATGTGGTTAATTTAATGTTTAAACGTTTATGTTCTACCTATGCAAGTACGAGTACTTACTATAATTCTAGTTAAATCGCTGTTAGAACTAGCTACAATTTGTAAATGCCAAGTGGAGACTGTTTTTGGAAGCAAAGTGAAGCGTTGAATTGATTGAAATGCCACCAAGAAATACAAAAATCAATAGATATATAATCAAAATAATTCGTTTTAAGCGGTTAATCCCCCCCATAGGCCAGTAAATATAAACATAAACATATTTGTACACTTAGAGCTCTCTAATTCCTAAACTTTGTATGTGTGTTTTGAACTTGATGTGAGGTATCCTCGTATAGGTATTGGCCATAAATCTATAGCTAATAGCGTTCGTTCCCTCTCTCTCGCTGGAACGTGTATGATTGGAATCGTTATAACTGAAGCGAGTACTCGATTATGTATATTATTATGGCTATATAATAATAGAGACATTCAATGTGTGCAATGATCTAGGCCATCGGCTATGCATGTTAGGCTTAAGAGAATTTGTTGAGCCTCCCACTATACGGTACTGTAATATCGATAGATTGTAATGCAAGAATCAGTTTAAATGAAATTTAAACGTATTGTTAAAGCCACACCTAGGTAAATCACTTGTGTACATTTAACGTTGTTGTATTATGACTAATACTAAGTGCGAGTTGGTTATTGTGGGCAAGGATTTCTTTGAATAAGATGGCATATTGTTAGCATATTGTTCGCCTGCCTGTCTCGGGCAGCGAAGACCTGTAATATTTGGAGAGCAAACTACTTTCGGGAAAAATGGGTAACACATAATTAGCAAAACATACAAGAAACCAGACGGACGCGCGCAAGACAGCAGACAGACGCGACATACATTATAGTTAAGATTAAGCGAATATCACAATATTTTACAAACTACTCGAAACCGAAATCAAAACTCTATGAAATCTTTAAGCAGAAACCATTTCTTAGCCACTAAGTGTTTATCCGATACATACTTGTGTGTCGTCTATCTATATGGATGTAACAATAAAAGTCCAAAGTCAAGTCCGACTTGTGCCATGCCAAGGAATAGTTCTGAACAACACCCACACAACTTATCCAGTCAAAAACTTTCTACTTCATTTCGTTTGAGTTGATTTCAATGATTAACTTTCATTTCAAACATTGGCGCGCATTTAGGAGAGAACTATTGCTTGGCATGAGAGACAATTGTGACTTGGAGCCACTCACTCATCATCAAAAACAGGCATAAGTTATACTAACAAACTACTATTAACTAACATTGGCTGCAAATTAAATAAAACTTCAATTTCATTCAAATGATAATTGCTACTACGTAGCAGCAGCTTTTTTTCCACTTCAATTTATTTTTAGACATTTGGGAAGCGCTTTCAAATCGGATGCGCAATACGAGTGTCGAGTGTGTTTACGATGAGAACCGCCTCAAACAGTGACGATTCCAGGCAGATTCCAACAGACTAATGATGATATCGAATTATTTGAGTTGTACTTCCCCACGCTGTACATTTCCAGTTCCAGCTCGAGTTCTATACACTGAAAAAAATGATAATTGCTGGGTGCTTAATTGGGTAATAATTTGTGTAAAGATTCGGGAATGTGCAGTGTATAAAAATGACTTAAGTATCCGCTTGTCATCAGCGCACTACATTGGCATTGGATTTAATTTGGCACTTATATCGGTCAACGACCCAATTCATTAACGATTACGCGAGGTAAGCCCATCGTCATAGCCACTATCTTATAGCACATGTACTACTCGTGCTACGTACTAACCCAAATAGTATCGAGATGGCCTGACAGAGTGCTCAGCTCAGCCTGATGATTAAGATGCCTTGCCTTGAGTGGTCCAAGATAAACAGTTGCCAGAGAATGCGGCGTGCGGTTATCAATACTACAAACTGCAGGGCGTGTGAGTTGCGTAACAGCGTTCACGTGCATTGCAACAGCAATGGGGGCCCAGCTCTAGCCCAAGTGCTAGCCACTTCGATTAGATGGAGCCATATCAGCGCAGAGTCAGAGCAACAGCAACATCAACAGCAACAGCAACAGCAACAGCAACAGCAAGAGAAACAGCAATAGCACGAGCAATAGTAGTCACCTGTATAAATACGAACGGCACTGTCATGGCCTGAGCACACGGCCATGGCATCTACCCAACTACGATCGACACTCTTCTCGACGCTGCTCCTCGCAGCACTGGCCGTTGGCTCTGCAGGCGCCTACAGTTCGGGGAATCTGCTGGCCTGGATGCAGCAGAGCAACTTTGGCTATCAAGTGCTCCATCAGGCGATCAGTGACAACCAAACGAGCGCCTCCGAGGCGGCCTGCGTGCAGGAAGTGCGCCTCCTGCTATTGGCGGCAGAGGCCAGAGCCCTGCCTGCATTGCGGGGTAAGATTCGGTGCTCGATTCGACCCCCCTCTGAAAGACACTGATCAACCTTTCTTGTATCCTTCTCGGCAGTCCTCGATGCTTGGGGTAAGTTTCCGCAGGGCCTGCTCTATGGCCACTTCACGGACATGGGCAACTATGAGTCATGTCTGAGCAAGGACCCCGTTGGCAGCAGACGCAAGTACTGCCTGACGCACATACAGTTCGAGAGTTTGCTGCTGGAGGCAGCGGGGTCGAGTGCCCTCACATTGAGCATTGGCACCTGCATCCCGTCCACCTGCAGGGCTGCCCAGCTCAATCGCTGGATCAACGACTACCTCCAGAACATGTTCGGCCAAGAGAGCGACACGGGCGTCACTGTCGTGCAGGAGAATAGTTGTGCTGTAGCTCAGCGCGAGCCCATGACCGGATTGGACTGGTTCGCAGTGTAAGTACAGAGCGGCAATCGAAAGCATTGCGTCATGGATAAAAGGGAAAGTAGCTGAGAGTCAGATATCGGATGAGTCAGAGCCCACCAATTATTTGGGCTGCTTGAAGGTGAGCTCGGGAGAGAGGTCGTTGACTTGCCGCCGAACTTAATTAAGTTTGTTTGTTTGCAAAGATATTGCACAACAATCATTCGACTAACAGGTTGAGTGTGAAGTATACAAAATGCTCAAAGTGAATAACAATAACAATACACCGATGTGTGTAGCTGTGGAACAGGTTTGAAAACCCTTGGCGTTAATAATATTTATGTCTGCTCTCGAAATTTGACCCAATTTGAATGGCTGACATTTACATTTTGTTTTTGTTTGATTTTTGCAGTGTCCTGCTGATTCTCTTGGCCATTCTGGTGCTCCTAGCCACGCTGCTGGACCGTGCCAAATGTGAGTCAATATTTGTTTTACAGGCTTGGCACACATTTAAAATGCATTTTATTTGATTTTAACAGCTTCGAACAAGCTGCTGAGCTCGTTTTCGCTGCGCCAGAATGTGCCACAGCTGTGGAGGATATCGGAGAGGGTGTCTCCGCATGTGATACCATGCCTGCACGGCATTCGGTGCCTGACAATAATCTGGATTATCTTCGGCCATGGCTACATGTTCCTGCTGCTGGCGCCCAGTGTGAATGCCTACGAAATCGTAGCCTGGGCCCAGACACCCTTCTCCATGGTGCTGCAGAGCGGCACCGTGTCGGTGGACACGTTCTTCCTGCTCAGCGGCCTGCTGCTGGTTATGAGCGCTTTGCGAGAGCTCGAGAGGTGTGTGTTGTGTGCCATTCCTCGTGCTGCTGCTGCTGCTGCTGCTGCCCATATAGAGCGTTAATTTATGTTCTGCTTTGCCCTTGCAGATCCTCGGGACGCCTTCACGTGCCGCTTATGTACCTGCATCGTGTGGTGCGGCTGACCCCAGTCCTCGCGCTGGCTGTTCTCTTTTTCATGACGCTCTTTCCACGCCTGGCCAGCGGTCCACTCTGGCAACAGTTCACCGCCTCCTCGCAACTGTGCAGTGACACCTGGTGGGCCACCTTGCTCTATGTGCAAAACTATGCGGCCCCTGGACGAATGGTAGCTACCACCACTCTCCCTGTCTCGCCCACATTCCTCCTCTGACAATCTCGCCTCATTGCAGTGCCTGGGCCACTCCTGGTACTTGGCAGTCGACATGCAGCTGTATGTCATCTCGCCCCTTCTCCTGATCGCACTCTACAAGTGGGGCCGAAGGGCTGCCGGCGCCATAGTTCTGCTCATCCTGCTGCTCTTCGCCTGCCTCTTCAGCATTATCATGCTGAACGAGCTGCAAGTATTCAGCCGCAATGGGTGAGTGTCCGAATGCCCAGCAGAGGTCTAAGTTTTATTTCTTTCTTTTCTTTCGACAGCAACCTGGGGGAGGACAGCCCACAGATGCGGCTCATTTACTACACCACACACGCCCGGGCCATGCCCTGGCTGATCGGACTGCTCTTTGGCTACTATCTGCACATCGAGGGCGGTCGCCGGCGACGCCTGTCCAAGTGGCTGGCACTGCTGCTGTGGATAGTTGCTCTCAGTCTCCTTGCCACGGTCATCTTTGCCGTATATCCGTACACGCAGACCGGAGCGAAGGACATCTCGCCACTGGCTGGCGCCTTCTATCTGTCCTGCGGCCGTATCGCCTGGCCCCTGAGTCTGTGCTGGCTCATATGGGCGTGCCAGAACGGACTGGCGCCCGTGGTTAACAGCCTGCTCAGCTGGTCCTTTTGGCAGCCGCTCTCCAAGCTCTCCTACTGCCTGTACATCTGGCACCTGATGGTGGAGACGGCCCACGTGGCACGCAGCAAGACAAGTCTGCATTTCTCCAACTACGATGCAGTAAGTCTCTGCATAATATTCGCTTTTATGCAATCATTTCTTACTGGATTCTCTCTCTCTCTCTCTCTCTGCCCTGCAGATCCTACGCTTCTGGTCGGACTTTGGCATAACGCTGTGCGTCTCCACATTGATGTATCTGTTCGTTGAGGCACCGATAGCCCGACTCGAGACACAACTGTTGAAGCAGAGACGGAGTCCAAAGCATGATGCAAGATCCCCGACCAACGCTGTCGATGCAACACCCTCGCCAGAAACTGCACCACCCACAAGCATTTCACGGCAGAATCTAGTCGTGCCCTGAGCGGGCCGTGTTGATTTCCGTTTCAAGTTCCTGTTAAATGTATAAGCAAAAATAAATGTATCTTGCATGCAAGAACCACATGTCAGTGGCTTGCTGAATCGCTCAACATGTGAGTGTATGTTACCATTGATTGCAGCAGAAATCTCTCAATAGATTCTTTATTCAAAACAAATTCCACTTAGTTTAAGGCACGTAGCCTTAGTCGATTTGAATGGCAAAGTAAACCACTTGTAGGCGACTTCTAACTGCGTCCGATAAGGTTACTATTCGTTGACGACGACGCTATCGGTCATTGGCCTAATTGTGAAAACTAAAAGCAATACAACTGAGCCAAATTGCCGTGCGAGCGAGTTGAACCAGCCCACTTTTCACAGTGCGCCACATAAGTAAGCATCTATGGAAGGTCATTAAAATCAAAGCAATGATAGTACTTGACAGGAAAAGAGGTAAAGAGCATTTTGTTATGAGCAATGTGGTTGATTTTCGACTTAGTTTGGTGCAGCTTGAAGCGTCTGTCCTCGCCCTCGACGCTCCACGCCATCGGGGCAACGTCCTCGTTGTTTCTCACAAATCTAGATCCGTGTAGGTACAGCTGTAGGATCGTTGCACGATGCTTGGCGATTCGCGGTGCTGAGAATGTGTAGCACTGGAACCCAAACCTGCAGTCCTCGAACTCAATGATCTCAACGTGCTGGCAGAGTTGAAGAAAGCGTCCAAAGCTGTCCGCATCTTTTATGCAGCAAGAATAAAACAGCAAGCGCTTGCTGTGCCGAAAGGGATGCGAAATTCTACCCATTTTAGCAGACAAATCATTAACGTATTTCATTACGAATGTTTCAACATCCAACTGAATGCGTTCACCATGAAAATATACATCGCAAGCGTATTGTACTTCCAGTCGTTTTAGACTGTGGCGTCCTTCCGCCCTCAACTTCCCGGCAAGTTCCAACTGCGTTTTGGGACAGCACATGCCGAGGACTGAGAGCTGCTTTAGACGTTTCAGATGCTTCAAATTGTTCATGAACCATGTGAAAAACTCAGTCTCGTTGCACAGCAGGACCTCTAGATGCTGCATGCCAGCTGTGGGTAATTTCACTAACAGGATATCAATGTCCCAGAAAGGTATGTCGAGAAAGAGAGCTTTCAGCTGCCTTGTTTGCATTATATGTACTAAGCTGCTGACCTGGAATTTTGAACAATGGTTTGCATTGAGGTTCTCCAGGTGCGGAATGTCAGCTAGATATTTTCCAGTCAATTGTCCAATGGGACTGAATGTCCTCAACTGTGGAAAAGCTTTAATTATCATCAGAATGTCCGAATCATTCAGGCGGAATGAAGTGGTTGAGAAGCGAAAGTCGTGCGCATTCGGATACACGTAGCTGGTGAGTATGTCAAAGTTTTCCCGGCTGATCATATTGAACCGTAAAACTTGCAATGTCCTGCGGATTATGCACAGGCAAAGACGGAGATCAGCGCTGGATATATCCAATTCAAACAGCGACAGGTGAACGTTAGATCCCCAAACCAATGGCATTATAGCGTAGAAACGAAAATGCACTCTGGCGACGTTCAACTGGGACTGCAAGTCCAGGAGACCAAAGATCGAAATCAGAACACAGTCTGGCAGGTATTCCATTTTGCCCTGGAAGTAAACGAAAAAAGTAATTGATTGTTATCAAACTCATTTGCAAAATGAAGGAACATGAACAGGATTGGACAGGGATTAACATGAAGAAATACGATTTAACTTGAATGAACATTCAGCCAATGTGCAGGGTTTCGCACTTGCGACACAGTTAAAACTTATTTGAATTTGAACAATGTTAACAGTGGAAAGGCGAAAAGGTGCTGTAAGGCGCAAACGAAATAATGACTATTGGGGGGTGCACTATTTACTAGATATTCTTTAATGAAAAGCTATGATTTGGTATATTTTTGAGGGTTTTGCGGTATATCGCTAATTCCGCGGTCACACTGTTGGTTTCCCCAGTTGAACGGCTGCAAAAAAATAACAATAAATAGCACAAGATGCAGAAATATGACAAAATGGAGAAGATCGGTGAGGGCACCTACGGCACCGTCTTCAAGGGGCGCAACCGCGACACAATGGAGATAGTGGCCCTGAAACGAGTCCGTTTGGACGAGGACGATGAGGGTGTGCCTAGCTCTGCCCTGAGGGAGATCTGCTTGCTGAAGGTATGTTCTGTTCTGTGGCCTTGCGGGACAGGAAACTGAAATGATTTGCACCCACAGGAACTGAAGCACAAGAACATCGTCAGACTGATAGATGTCCTTCACTCGGATAAGAAGCTGACCCTGGTATTCGAGCACTGCGACCAGGATCTGAAGAAGTACTTTGATAGCCTCAACGGAGAAATCGATATGGCTGTGTGTCGCAGCTTTATGCTCCAGCTGCTGCGTGGCCTGGCATTTTGTCACAGGTGGGTGTGTGGGCCAGTCATGTCGCCAGTAATTATAATTCCTCGTCCTATTAGCCACAACGTCCTGCATCGTGATCTGAAGCCGCAGAACCTGCTGATCAACAAGAATGGCGAGCTGAAGCTGGCCGATTTTGGCCTGGCCCGCGCCTTTGGCATTCCCGTGAAGTGCTACTCGGCCGAGGTGGTCACTCTGTGGTACCGTCCACCGGACGTTCTGTTCGGGGCCAAGCTATACACGACGAGCATTGACATGTGGTCGGCTGGCTGCATTCTGGCTGAGCTGGCCGATGCCGGGCGTCCGCTGTTCCCCGGCTCCGATGTGCTCGATCAGCTAATGAAGATATTCCGTGTGCTCGGAACACCCAACGAAGACTCCTGGCCCGGTGTGTCCCATCTCTCCGACTACGTTGCGCTTCCATGTGAGTATTCGGCGTGGCTTCCATCTCTTGTTGTGCATTAACTGACGCCTGTGCCGCTTGCAGCCTTCCCAGCCATAACGTCGTGGAGCCAACTAGTGCCGAGACTCAATTCTAAGGGTCGCGATCTGCTGCAGAAGCTGCTCGTCTGCCGCCCCAATCAGCGGATCAGTGCCGAGGCTGCCATGCAGCATCCGTACTTCACGGACAGCACCTCGTCTGGCCATTGAGTGGGATACACCGCGACGATGCATGCGACTGTTTCAACGTACTTTGATTAGCACTTAAGCCAGACTCTTCTCTCTTACTAGTACTAGTCATAATAACTATGCATATGATGTCCTCAGTACTTCACTTTATGTGTGTGTATGTGTTTGTGCATGTGTACCGTATTAAATGTACGTCCCCGATGCAATCAGTTTAAATAATTTACATTAAGTTAAGTATTTTAAGATCCCAGTTCTAATGTATTGCCTCTAGATTATTTCAAGTTTACTAGCGTAATAAATTCACTTACTCAGAGACGCAGAATTCGCACGAACACTTTATAAAAAAGTTCTGAATGGAATTTTAAAAAGATTTCTTTTTCTTTTCGCGCTAGAATACGACGACCTTGTTTAGCTGTCACACCTTGCATTTCACCCTCTTGTCTAGTGTATATTTCGGTATATTTCCGAAGGTCTTTCGGTATATTTGACCGATAATTCCGCGGTCACACTGTATACATATATATTTGAAAAAGAACTCGAAAACATTGCAAAAACCTGTGGACTACGAGAAAAAAATCTTAAAATTCTTAACAATTGTCTGGCAATAGAAGCTGCCGCTGAAAACAATTGCTCCGACTACGAATCCGATTTATAGAGCTTCACAAAATGACCTGGGGATTTGTGACCTGTGGACCCAACGAGGCGTTGGTAGTGTCGGGTAAATAACCAAGTCGATGTATTCCAATTAAACCAATCAGTGCACAATCCGAATGCCCCCCCTGGGACTGTTTAAAGTTTTCAAACACACACAAATAAATCACCACCACCCCGCCCTCCACATGACGTCACCGCCTATTGATTTTTATGTACAACAACTTGTGATGCATAGAAGAAGAAGAGAAATCCCCGGTGCCGTGCGCGCGCATTCGAAAACGGCGGTGTTGCCGATGATCTAATTCTTTTTGTTTGTAAACAACCCGAATTTTGTGTAATCTTTTGCAGGATGCTGTTACATGAAGCCGCTACTGGTGCCCGGCGGACGTGCCTTTGTCTGGCCCTCCATCCAGCAGGTGCAGCGGTAAGTAAATGGCTTTTAAAATCTAGATACGAATATGTAGAACACCATTCATCCCCCAACTATTCCAGAATCTCACTAAATACGATGACGCTTCAGGTGGAGAGTCCCTGCGTGTACACTAGCCAGGGTGTGCCCATTTCGGTGACGGGCATTGCCCAGGTGAAGGTGCAGGGCCAGAACGAGGACATGCTGCTGACTGCCTGTGAGCAATTTCTGGGCAAGACGGAGTCGGAGATCAACCACATTGCCCTGGTCACACTGGAGGGACACCAGCGTGCCATCATGGGCTCCATGACGGTGGAGGAGATCTACAAGGATCGCAAGAAGTTCAGCAAGCAGGTGTTCGAGGTGGCCTCCAGCGATTTGGCCAATATGGGCATCACCGTTGTCTCCTACACCATCAAAGATCTGCGCGACGAGGAGGTACACAATCCACTAGCTAAATCACACTTTATCCTTTGTTGAACTAACACACAAACCCCCCCCATTAGAGAGTAGCCTGTTTCGCGTCACTTCATTTGTTTCCCCGATTAACCTTCTGTATATACCGTATTTCTTGCATGTCCATTTGGATTTACGTTCACTTCAGGGCGACTCAAAGGTGCGTATAGCCTGCAGTGTAGACTTTTACTCTGCTCCCTACCGCCGGACGCCATCTTCTGTCTTTTTGTAGAAGATTGACAAATGCTTTTACCCTTGTACTCTTGTTCGTTTTCAGGGCTATTTGCGCTCCTTGGGCATGGCCCGTACGGCCGAAGTTAAGCGTGATGCTCGCATTGGAGAGGCAGAGGCCCGGGCCGAGGCCACAATCAAGGAGGCAATTGCCGAAGAGCAGCGCATGGCATCTCGCTTCCTGAACGACACGGACATTGCCAAGGCCCAGCGCGACTTTGAGCTGAAGAAGGCCGCCTACGACGTGGAGGTGCAGACGAAGAAGGCCGAAGCCGAGATGGCATACGAGCTGCAGGCAGCCAAGACCAAGCAGCGCATCAAAGAGGAGCAGATGCAGGTCAAGGTGATCGAGCGCACACAAGAGATTGCTGTGCAGGAGCAGGAGATACTGCGTCGCGAGAGGGAGCTGGAGGCTACCATTCGCCGGCCGGCCGAGGCCGAGAAGTTCCGCATGGAGAAGTTGGCCGAAGCCAACAAGCAGCGTGTCGTGATGGAAGCCGAAGCCGAGGCAGAGTCGGTAATGTTTAACTGCAATCTGCGATGCAGTCGACCCGAATATACGAATCCTATTCTGCCCCTTCCTTTTGTAGATCAGAATCCGCGGCGAGGCAGAGGCATTCGCCATTGCAGCCAAGGCAAAGGCCGAAGCCGAGCAGATGGCACAGAAGGCCGAGGCTTACCGCGAGTACCGCGAGGCGGCCATGGTGGAGATGCTCTTGGACACACTGCCAAAGGTGAGGAGTGCACTTTGGATGAGGCATTTCGAGGGGCAATTTATTAATCAATGTTTATTCCCAACAGGTGGCCGCCGAGGTGGCTGCCCCGCTCTCGCAGGCCAAGAAGATCACAATGATTTCAAGCGGCCAGGGCGACGTCGGTGCCGCCAAGCTGACCGGCGAGATCTTGCAGATTGTCAACAAAGTGCCAGAGCTTGTTAAGAACATGACCGGCGTGGATATATCCCGGGTACGTTCCAATTCTGAATTTATCTAAGGGCATCAGAGGTCGGATCAGCGGAGCGGCCGGCAGAAGGCAACCTTATACAAATGGCAATCAAAAGACTTGATAGAGAAAAATGTAGCAAACGGATGGCAGCCTGGGGGACAAGAACTATGTCTTCAAGTGGCTTCAAATTCGGTTTCCTATTTCTTTTGTGTTGATTTTTGTTTAATTTACACTTGTTTTCTCTTCATTTCAGTCCGTGCATGCTGGCTAAGTATCCAAAAACAAAACCAAAAAGATATCCAAAATTACACAATTCTTCTCCAAACAATTACTGCAAAACCAATAACGATCGAATACGTCGAGCCAATGATTGAATACATAATGTATGCATTTAAAGTTGGTTTATAAATTACATTTTTTACACCAACACACACACACACAAACATATATACATACATTTATGACTTTGTGCGCTAACCAAACAAATTTTTGCAAAATGTTTTTTATACACACACACTCTCACAGCGGAGCGCAGGATATTTTGTATTCAATGTATGTGAATTTATACAAGTGTATGGCACAAAACGTGGAATAAAAATATTTCCGTATATATAAAAGTCGTATTTATTATAACATTTAAATTTTTAGCCGCGTTTTGCGATTTTAGTACCGATTGAAAGCAGTGTGACCGCGGAACTATCGATAGAATATACCGACAGACCCTCGCAAATATACCCTTCCATTTTTTAAATATACTGTAAGTATACCTGATTAATAAACTTTGATATTCTGTTTTATATTACCAGCTGGTTAAGACTCTCAGCTCTAAGACTGTAATTTTACTTGAAACATCACTCAATTCTCCACAAGATCGGCTAATTTTCATGACATCCCTTTATGGGAATGTTTTGAATTTAAGTTCACTAATTTTCGTAGTTAAAATATTCCCATGACCGAAAATGGTCACCGATTGAAACTGTCCCACGCCTATCGATTATGTATTGTTTATTTCATTTTGTTCATCTCTAAGCAACTCAGCACTTTTTGGCGAACTAGTTCGTGGGCTGCCAACCTGGCATAATATGGGTGGTTCAATGTAAGTAGAATTATTATAAAGCTTGTGAAACTTGATCGCTCTTAAGGAGAGAGATTGCGTAGTAATTTTTGTTGAACAAGGTGAAAATTGGTTAAATTCGTTATTTTCTTCGGTATATTTAAGGTATATTGTGAATATATGAAGGTATATTTCGGTATATTTATAAGATTCATGCTGCATATTTGATGTGTTTTTCCGCGGTCACACTGCTCGCCAAGACATTTCACTTGCACGGAAAAAATTGGTGGTTTTTTAAAGAAAATTTGGTCGATTTCAATCGCAATTAAATAGATTCAAGCAGAGAAAATTGTAAACTTAAGTAGCAAGGTTAATCTACAAGCAGTTTAACATGGCAGACTCCAAGGGGTAAGTGTAAAAACAGCAAATTCACGACCCTCAAAATAAATGCCGACAAAAGAGCGCTGGGCTATGACAGCGCTTCAATTTCGCGCAGTCATTGGCCTGACGGAAAAAAGTACGCAAGGGCCACATATGTACATATGCAAAGGAAAGTTGCAAAATGCAATTGGAGAGCACTCCCAATAGCTTTGTGAGGTTTTCTTTCAAAGAAATACACTTTTAATGGCGAAAACATACATACATGGTGGCATATACTCTTGGACTCTGTTGCGAAACTAGGCCAATGCTAAGAAAATCGCCATTTGCTGTCTGCATGGTGTTGTTGTGGTTGTTGGGGCCATGGCTGGCGGACCTTTGGTTTCTTTGTTGTCCTTGTGATTCCCCAACTTGCAAATGGTGCAGCGTCTCTACGGATGGCGGCGCGTCAGCGTGCCTGACATTGTGTAGGGGAGGGGAAGGGAGACGTAGACTGTTCTCGAATAATAGAAATTTGGCTCCAAAGTGCCTGATATCCTAGTGTGCTCTGAAATCCTAAATCTTTTGTTAGAGTCGAATTGTGAGAAATCAGTCTAGGAAAGAAAAGTTTTGTCATGTCGGCAGGAAATAATGATCCTCGTCCGCCTTTTGGCTATCGACCAGCAGCAGGATCGGGAAATTATAACAAAAACGATGACGCTCGCAACCCAAACAATTGCACGGATCAGAATGGGAGTCATTTCGATGAGGATGCAGAAATGAAAGATGCGTCACCACCGTCGCCATGGGCTGAGACTGGGACTGGTGGCAAGCCGGCGTCAAGTAAAAGAACTTCACATGCAAAATTGTGCGGCAGATAAATTCGAATGTGTGAAAACTGTGTGTGCTCAATCTGTTTCTTCCTTTACTCTTTTCCCCCCGCAGCGATGATCTCGCAACGGCGATTTTGAAGCGAAAGGATCGCCCCAATCGCCTGATTGTTGAGGAGGCTCAGAATGACGACAACTCCGTTGTGTCGCTTTCGCAGGTAAGTCATCGTCTTCCCTGGGCCACGTCATCAACTCATCAAATCTGAAATCTCAAAATCACTTGACCCTTGTACTACAATGCTCTGGCGCTCTCCCCTTTCCCGCTTCATTGACAGGCGAAAATGGACGAGCTTCAGCTTTTCCGCGGCGACACCGTGATCCTGAAGGGTAAGCGTCGCAAGGAGACCGTGTGCATCGTGCTCTCCGACGAAACCTGTCCCGATGAGAAGATCCGCATGAATCGCGTGGTGCGCAACAATCTGTGCGTGCATCTGTCGGATGTGGTCTCGGTGCAGTCGTGTCCAGATGTCAAGTACGGGAAGCGTGTACGCATCTTGCCCATTGATGACACCACCGAGGGCGTGACGGGCAATCTCTTCGAGATCTACCTGAAGCCTTACTTCCTAGAGGCCTACCGTCCCATCCACATGGGGGACAACTTCATTGTGCGCGCCGCTATGCGTCCCATTGAGTTCAAGGTGGTGCTGACCGATCCCGAGCCCTACTGTATTGTGGCGCCCGAGACGGTCATCTTCTGCGATGGTGACCCGATCAAACGTGAAGAGGAGGAGGAGTCCCTCAATGCTGTGGGATACGATGACATTGGCGGCTGCCGCAAGCAGCTGGCCCAGATCAAGGAGATGGTGGAGCTGCCCCTGCGTCATCCGTCGCTCTTCAAGGCTATCGGTGTGAAGCCGCCGCGTGGCATCCTCATGTACGGCCCACCCGGTACCGGCAAGACTCTGATTGCCCGCGCCGTGGCCAACGAGACAGGTGCTTTCTTCTTCCTGATCAACGGACCGGAGATTATGTCCAAGCTGGCCGGTGAGTCCGAGTCGAATCTGCGCAAGGCGTTCGAGGAGGCCGAGAAGAACTCTCCGGCTATCATCTTCATTGATGAGATCGACGCCATTGCCCCGAAGCGTGACAAGACCCACGGCGAGGTGGAGCGTCGCATCGTCTCCCAGTTGCTCACCCTGATGGACGGCATGAAGAAGAGTTCTCACTTGATTGTGATGGCCGCCACCAACAGGCCCAATTCCATTGACCCTGCATTGCGTCGGTTCGGACGCTTCGATCGTGAGATTGACATTGGTATCCCCGATGCGACCGGCCGTCTGGAGGTGTTGCGTATCCACACCAAGAACATGAAGCTGCACGAGGATGTGGACTTGGAGCAGATTGCGGCCGAGAGCCATGGTCATGTGGGTGCCGATTTGGCTTCGCTGTGCTCGGAGGCTGCTCTACAGCAAATCCGCGAGAAGATGGATCTCATTGATCTGGAGGATGACAAGATTGATGCCGAAGTGCTGGCTTCTCTGGCTGTGACCATGGAGAACTTCCGCTACGCCATGACCAAGTCCAGTCCATCGGCTCTGCGCGAGACCGTGGTGGAGGTGCCCAACACCACCTGGACCGACATCGGTGGCCTCGAGAGTGTCAAGAAGGAGCTGCAGGAGCTGGTCCAGTACCCAGTCGAACATCCCGACAAGTTCCTCAAGTTTGGCATGCAGCCAAGCCGCGGCGTGCTCTTCTACGGCCCGCCCGGTTGCGGTAAGACTCTGCTGGCGAAGGCCATTGCCAACGAGTGCCAGGCCAACTTCATCTCCGTCAAGGGCCCCGAGCTGCTGACCATGTGGTTCGGCGAGTCTGAGGCCAATGTGCGCGACATCTTCGACAAGGCCCGCTCGGCGGCCCCTTGTGTGCTCTTCTTCGACGAGCTGGACTCGATTGCCAAAGCCCGTGGCGGTAATGTGGGCGATGCTGGTGGCGCTGCCGATCGTGTGATCAATCAGATCCTCACCGAAATGGACGGCATGGGTGCCAAGAAGAACGTATTTATCATTGGCGCCACCAATCGTCCCGATATCATTGATCCGGCCATCCTGCGTCCCGGACGTCTCGATCAGCTTATCTATATTCCATTGCCCGACGACAAGTCGCGCGAGGCCATTCTGAAGGCCAACTTGCGCAAGTCGCCGCTGGCCAAGGAGGTGGACCTCACCTACATTGCCAAGGTGACACAGGGCTTTTCGGGTGCCGATTTGACCGAGATCTGTCAGCGGGCCTGCAAGCTGGCCATTCGACAGGCCATCGAGGCTGAGATTCGTCGCGAGAAGGATCGCGCCGAGAACCAGAACGCGGCAATGGATGTAAGTGAACAGCATTTGCATGGAATTTTCTTATTCTATATCGATCTATTGTTGTCACACAGATGGATGAGGAGGATCCAGTGCCGGAGATCACTAGGGCCCACTTTGAGGAGGCCATGAAATTTGCTCGCCGCTCTGTGTCGGACAACGACATCAGGAAATATGAGATGTTTGCTCAGACTTTGCAGCAGTCCCGTGGATTCGGACAGAACTTCAGGTGAGAGCTGACACTGATGCTTTCCGAAACAATTACCAACTCAAAAATGCTTCTCCTGTTTCTGTTACAGATTCCCCGGTCAAACCGGCAACACCTCAGGGTCCGGCACCAATATGCCCGTAAATTCGCCAGGCGACAATGGCGATGATGATCTTTACAGTTAGATTTTTAGTTTTTACACTTCTAAACAAAAACAAAACACAAAAGAAGGCCCAACTTTTTAAATGAATTTTTCCCCGAAAAAACCGATAAAGCAAGCAAATTACTTTCGCCGCAAAATAAACATCATTGAATTCAGATATATTCAGTCAGCCTGGCGGAAGTATCACAAGACAAAGCATACAAATCCAATAGCAGTTCAAAAACATGACCGATACCAACCATCCCTGCTCTTGGCCATGGATTTTAACACTAAATATACCATTCAAATTCAAATTCAAATTTGGGACTAAGCTTGGGTGCTGCACTTGGACCCAACTAATCCGAATCTATTGTAATTGGCGAACCAAATCGCGACCCCACTTATCATTCGTGCATTGTCGGTGGAGAGTGGCTCCGATAAATGAGTTTCTATAAACATAATTATAAAGGATACACATACACACGTACATTTAAAGATAATACATATATTAAACACCGTAAAATTATAAGTGTATTTGGAGCTACGTTTTTAAGTGAATAAAAATGATAAATTCAAAGGTTTTCCTAACTCTTCTTATGTATGGAAGAAAAGATTGTTGAGAATATTGATGGGAAGTTCAGTCGAATCCCTAAGAATTTGTAACTCTGCTGAAATAAAATATTCCTTTGCTTTTGTTTTATCGCTTTTATTAAACTTTTATTCATTCGTCATGTTTGCTTTTTTTGTGGATTTGTCCATTCTTGTTTCGCTTTTGTTTTATGCATCTATTTTAATATGTTTGTTTTTCATTTTCTTGTGATTTTCTTTCATGCTTTGCGACCACGAGGACTCTTTAACATACAATTTTCTTGAATTTATTCAATCTTATAAATAAAATCGTTCAGATTATGAAGCTTCTGGTTAATCAACTCAATGATTTGCTATGGGTAAAAAAAAAGAAACAATAAAACAATAATTTTAATGGCAAAAATGTGTAAAAATGAAAGCAGGCAATTGTTTGAAGATTTTATTTTCTTGCAGCTTCTTTGGCGCTTGATTGTAATGTTTTTCTTTTAGTTTGTTACGAGTGTCTACACTTTGAAATTTCTTGTAAATATTTTGTTTGTTTCACACATTTATTTAGTTCTTCTTGTCGGTTCTTATTTGTTTTTGTTTTTAGTATTTCTATTACACATACACATAATATAAATACGCTTTATGCATAATTACAACACAACAGTTAAAGTACGAATAGGTTTTCATTATTTTATTTAAAGTTTTTTGCGCATTTTTTTAGAATTTCTCATCTGCGATTTCCACGGTTTTCTTTGAGCTTTGCTTGATATTAGTTTACAAATATGGCGTGTATATATGTATGTGTATTGTGTGTGTGTTTGCGTGTTAATGTTTGTGTGTGTGTGTGTGTGTGTTTAGTTGCGTGTGTGGTGGTTGTGTAGTTGGTATGTGGAAGAAAATGGCCAGCACTTTCAGCATCTTAATTAATTTCTAGAAATTTAATCGTTCGATATATATTATTTGATTTCTTTCTAAATCTTTTCATCTAATTTTTATTTTGCTTTTTGTTTTGTTGAAAGTTTTCAAGAATTTGTTGCTTTTAAAGTCTTGAACATAGACTAGACACCAATTAAGATTAAAAACATACTCGTTTATATTTATGTATATATGTATATAATATATATTATATAATTTATTACTATTTGCTGAACGATCTGTAGCAAATTTGATATTTCTTCCGTTTCTATTATATGTAGTTTCTTTTAGCTTTGAACACCTGTCGTCTGCTGGTATGCCAGTTTAATTTGTTAATTTCTATATACTCTATATGTATGTATGTATACCTATACACATACCGCTTTTAAATGTGTATATGTTATTGATTATCCGTCTACGATTTGTTTTAGTTACGCATTTTGTTCCAAACAATGAGGTTTCTTTCATGTAAAGAACATAAGTAGTTGGAGTCGATTAGGATTTAGGGTGTAAGGTTTACCATAGTTTAAGCTCATTCAGTTATACATATAGAGATATAGGTATAGGTGTAGGCATAGGTTAGTAATACAGATAATGAACATCAAACACAAAATAGAAAGAAATACAGAAATACACTCTAAGTACACATTATCTAGGCCCTCGATATTGCTTTATTTTGTTCACCTCTATAGCCCCGAACATACCAGAAACGAAATTTTGAAGCAGTTTTAGCAAATGTCTCCCACAAATGCACACAGCACTTCACTCTCTCTCACTGTGCTAAGTTTCGTATTTTGTTTTTCGCTAGTTTTTCTCAAAGTTTTCTAATTTGATCCCATGCAACATATTGATTGTGCCTGTAGCATTATACTCCTGGTTAATTTTGGTTTTCTCTCCGAGAACTGCATTACAATTACATTCTCTCAATTCGTTATAGTGAGATCGATTGCGAATGGTGGTGGTATGTAGTATAGGAGGATACAGTGGCTTGCAAATGAAGACAAATCAAACAGTTTTACTCCACTACTCGGGGGCTGAAACACTCTGCCTGCTCTCAGCTGCTTTGCCTTCTTCACGTATAGACTAGTACATTGATTGATTTTGTTACAAGTTAAATAAATTAGATTTTCATTCTTTTATATGTATGTGTTTGTATGTATGTATGTGTGTACTACATGCATATACTATGTATAACCTCTTACAATCTGCTGATATAAACTTGTTGCTTGATGTGTGTGCGTGTTCAATTTGCTCTTAGTTTGTATATTTGCTTCTTCGCTTATCGAATAGTTAGCAGCCAAGGAAAGAATAAGTGGACTATGACTAAATTATGTATAAATCAATGGATAACAACAAAAATATATATGAATAAACAAAACTTAAATAAGCAAATTTAACAGTAGATTCCATCCGTTGAGCAGCCGCCAATCGATTTGCTAATGCTGTTCTGTTGTTCTTCGAATTTAACGCTCAATTGAATACAAATTACATTACAAATTACAATTGCTAAATACTCGTACATACAATACAATTCTTAACTTGTTTGATATCTCATTTCTTAAGTTAGAAACATTGCAAAGCTTCTTCTCAACATGATCAACATTGCCCTCATTCACATCATCATCATGATTTATCATTTATCATTATCTTTAGCATATTATTATAGATTAATTTCAATTATCAATTATATATTCATGTTTAAGTTTTAATGATTCTTCTGTGTCCTTGTGTGGGTGCTAGCTTGTTTGGTATTTGTGCTTTGTTTGCTGATTGGTTTTATCTCTTGTTCTGTTTCTTGTCTGTTCCTGTGGAGTGGAGTGGAGTGGAGTGGTGTGGTGTGGTATTGCTCATATTTCCAAATGAAATTCTAATTAAAATCCTAGGAAGCCTGCAAGTGTCCTTTTTCGCAGGTGTTGGTTGTTGTTCCTGCTGTATTTGTATTTGTAGTCATAGCTATAGTTGGTTATGGTGGCTGGTTGATTGATTGATTGATTTATTTATTGGTGGTTCAGACTTTTTATCGTGTATCAGTGATATTGTTTTTGCTACCAAATATCTTCACCAACTGTGACTCGTAGTCATCAATGTTGCGCTTCATAATATCCATGCACGGTCCCAGCAGACGCTCGAATGCCCTGACATCGAGGACTGAATGGTAAAAGAGATTCACAAATTAGTTCAAGATTGTTGGATCTAAACACCATTGGAAAACACTTAGTGCATGCATGAGGATATCCTGCGGGTAATGGGAGGTGGATTAGTGAGAGTGATTAATTAAGTATATGTTAAAACAGAACCCACTCCAAATCGTACTGTTCATCACCACAAGCCCCTTCTACTTTAAGTATCAATTACAAAATACTCGTTTATCCGTCTCTTACCGATGCGATAATCGTTTGGGATCTGTTTCAGCATCAGACACGGACATGGATGGCTTTGTGCTCTGTATGGAAAAGTGCGTTGGGTGGATGGGTGGATGGGTGGGGGGAGGGGACGGATGAACCAAGCGAAATACTCATGTTTTTGTGTGCATTTGAAATGAAAACCTTTTAACTGAACTTGGAAATTTTTAATAATTAATAATTCTTGTAATTGAATAAACTAGACAATAAATTTAAAGCGTTTCTCGGCGAATGGGAGGAAAAGCCCATTGACTACAGATTGGTATTGCGGCGGGCCATTTCGGTGAACATCTGCTCATAGATCACAATGTTGCGCTTGAGTACGTCGGTGAGGAAGCCCATGATGCGTTCAAACGCCTCTGTGTCTAGGACTGGACGGAGTTTCAAATATAAACAAATAAAATAATAAGGATAAGTCAAGTCAAGGCTACAGCTAAAACTACTGCGAATTGAGCTGCAGGTTGTCAAAGTAGTCCCGCAGATCTGCTTCCAGGTAGCGATAGTCGGTAATGCCACGCTGCAGCAACCGATTGCAGTTGCCCATGAGGCGTACAAAGCAAACTACATCCAAAACTACGAAACACACACACAACACAGGCATAAGGCAAGGCGAATTGGTCAGGAAAACAAAGAACAAACAAACGAAAGCATTAAAGATTAGCCAAAGCAGGATGAGGAGTGTACGTGGGAGGCATCAAACTTTAAGCGGCGTCCGTGGACGTGCTGGCAACACTCACATGCAAGCCGGACATGGCCGCCCGTGGCGTATACGGAAGCGGCACGTGGCCGATGTGTCACCAGCGCCAGTTCACCAAAGTACTGGCCCTTGCCCAGCTGCGATATCTCCACCTCAGCATCGTCCTGGTCCATGCGCACGGACACGGTGCCCTCCTCAATGAAGTACATGCCATCGGCAGCATCACCTACAGAAAACCCAAAAGATAATTATTGATTGAGATATGCCAATGGAATGCACTTTATTCCATACCCTGCTTAATGATACGTTCGCCGCCCTCGAAGCTCTTGGTGATCAAAGCGTCAGCCAGATTCATGCGTTCATAGTTCTGCGGAAAGCACAATGGTTAGAGAGAGAGATCTAGTCGAAGGAATTACAACTATAGGCAACACTCACCTGCAAGGCCTTGAGCATGGGCACGTTGTTCAACAACTCCTCGTACATTTTTCGCTTCTTGAATGCAGACTTGAGCAAAATGCGTCGGAAGGTCTGACGGTCCATGGCCCAAAGTAGACCATTGGTTTCCGCCTGCACGGTGGCCGCCCTAAACAATTTAAGTCAACATTAAAGTAATCTAAATATAGCCAGGTGTACACCCATTAACACATTGTAAATGTCGTCCAGACAGCGCGGAAAATTTACAATAATGCGACGATCAAATAGAGACGTACCTGGGCATGTTGTAGAGCAGCGCTAATTCGCCGAAAAGTCCAGTGTGATTGTAGGTGTTAATGTGCTTGTCATTAATATAGACTTTGTAGATGCCCCTGCGGAGATGTAGTGGGAGAAGATGTACAAATAGTAAGAAGGAGGGCGAAAATCCGTTTAAATATAATGAAATTTATAATTACTGCGGTTGCTCACTCCCACTCTGTGTGTGTGTGTCTGTGATTGAGTGCTCATCAATATGCAAATTCCTATTAATTGCATTCCAGATCGAATGCCAACTCAAATAGAAATTAATTAAGTATGCGTGTACACGAAAGGAATATAATAGCAGGCTTAGTGGGTGGAGAGTTTCGCTGAATAAACACAGAAGGAATCTCCAACACTTTGCGAACATTTAAGCATGATTAAAACATGCATTTAAAAGGTTTAATGTTTTATTTATAAAGTGCACAGCCGCATGGTAGCTAGGGCAGCTGAAACCAAAGGATTCCAGAATAGCTCAGAATAATTTCTATAAAATGCAAAGCAAATCGAATCTGAGTTGGAGTTCCCTTATTTTATTCAAGTAGCTTTAAGATGGCTCTATGAATCCACAGCAGACATCTATAGAAAATCAGCAAGAGCCGCTTGCTGGGGGATTTTGTGATTACATTTATCTTGGCTTAACTTTTGTCTTGAATTAAATATGATGACTGCCGCACAAACACACACACACACACACACACACACGCATTCATCATTGATGAACAAGCTTGGATGTGATGGGAAATTTGTTTTGTGTTTTGTTTTGTTTTGTTTTACTTACGATTCAATAACATAAAAGTTATCGCCATCGTCGCCCTGGCGTATGATATAATCGCCCGGCTGTACCTTCCTCTCGAACATCGCATCCAGCACTTGGTTCATCTGAAAAGAACACGAAGGCGGCAAGAACGCAAAAGCAAGTTAGTAAGACAGGGACAGGAGGTGGGTCTGTGTGGGGTATAATCCCCACGCAAAAGGGAAACCGCAAGCAGACACTTATTCGGGTTAAGCATCCGTGGCTCTGCGTGGGGATTATGATTTATGTGTGGCAGTCGAGGACGAGGACGAGGACGATGACTACGAACCTGTTCCTTTTCCAGCGAACGGAAGAGGAGAACATTTTTCACCGACTCCACCAGCCGTGAGCGCTGTTCATCTGTTTTGGGGAATATGGCAGTGGCTCCCTCATCATCATCGTCCGCCTCCGGATCGTACGCCTCGGCAAAGACTGATTTACGGCGAGAGTTTTGCATAACTGGTGGCTCTGTAAAATTCAATTCAGAAATAATCCCATCTTAGTAGATTTATAGACAATCAAAGTGCTTGAAACTTCAGTCAAGAGTCAATCCCAAGAGTTGTGCACTAATCAGAGGCAGAGACTGAGCCAGAGATTGACAATTGGCACTGACATTGGCATTGTTTCGCTTATCGTGGACATGGAATGTGCTGCATTGGCCATGTCCGCCTCCAGCTGGGCTCAGAATCGCAAAATTTCAAATGAAACTGCAGTCCATGGCTGCAGCGAAGAGCTCACATGTCACAGAATGCACATCAGATAGGGGGAAACTGAACCAAGTACCAAGAATTCTCAATGCTCTCATTGTGTGTTGCACAATTCCAGGCCACAGACAGGCAGACGAACGCAAAATGAAAATGAAAACTGCACAAATGTTGGATAAACATCGACTGTCTGGGGGTGGGGACTTCAATGCAAACATGAAAATTGGTCAAAAAACTCATTGCAACAGTAGTAGGAGCTTTGTGGCTTTTCTCAGAATGCCTGAGTACTGGAAACGCACTGTGAACCCCACACACACACACGCACACAGCCGCCACTAGGCCAAACTGCCTGTGCTCGTAATTATGTATATGTACGTGTTTGGACTGTACATAAGTACATAGCATATGTACATTTACAGCAGCGGCAACACCAAAAGTGTCTCAGTCCGTTCAGAGATACATTCGCTTTGGGTTTGCTTTTCATTAGGTTTTTAAGATTTTTTCGTTCGTTTTTTCGTCATGGCACCAAATTGGGAATTTTGTCGTTGCTTACCAGCTAATAAATTGCCAGACACCTGAGTAGACATTTTCAATTGCAGTTTGCTGCTTGGCGTTGTGCGTGTCTCTGAATTCACTTAGTTGCGATTTCAAATCACTTGTAACGACGACTCAGCGACACAGAAACCAGTTGGGCATGAACACGTTTAAATATATATAACTAAAACAGCAACAAAAAATAAAGAGAGAGATATCTATATCTATCTATCTATCTATCGATATATATATGTACACTTATTGTTTGATGTACATATATGCACATATTGTGTGTGCAGCTTGAACGGCCCGGCCCGGCCCGGCCTGGCCTCAAGGTGACTGCAACGAGTGTTCTACTACTTATTTTAGCTTTCCCGTCACACGCGGCGAATGCGTAATAATAAATATTTATGCACTTCGAGTGTTTCGGCTGCGATGGCGGCGCTGGAGCCTTCAACAAGTCACTGAGCTCTCCCTCTCTCTGTGTCTCATGATTCGATTTCGTTTACAGATTTTTGCACTGACTGCCTGCCATCCTCCAGCGCTTCAGCGTCATTCCGGTTGTCGTTCTTGGTCTCATTCTCGTTCTTGTGTCAAGTTGCCAACTGGAGTGTCGGTTTAATGATGCAATTACACAGACAGACACGCACAGAGAGAAAGATAGAGACAGAGAGAGAGAGGCAGCTCCTTGTTGGCTTAGCCACAAAAATAGTACGGGCAAACCAGGAATGACAGGGAGGTAGGCAGGGGCAAATGGCATGAGTGGCGTCTCGTCTGTCAGGATTGTGCGGGCATCAAGGACCGAGACCAACCTCAGCAGAGATCTCTGACACTCAGAAAACACTTTGCTCTTGGGTTGGACATTTCCTCTTGTTTTTACGTATTTGTTTTAATCTGATTTAATGTTTAACATTTTTGTGGTCTTGTGATTTGTTTTAGTTTTAGTTATTTACTACAGATCAAGGACGAAAAGGAACCAAAATAAGAGAGCTTTCGTTCTAGCTATTAAGTACAGTCAAAGAGCGACGGATGGGTCTTTGCTGGCACAAAAACAAAATGCTTTCCATCTGTAAAGAGCGCGTGAGATCCCTGTTCCCGGTTAGTGACTCGCTGATAGCACATCCCGGGCAGGATGCAGGGGAAATTGCCATATGTAATGACACACAGACACTCATTTTAAATATAATTAGATAATTGAAGCGCTGATGAAAGTACTTCAATTACGTAAGTTTACACCCCCTTCGCACACACGCACACTTGTCGGATGAGTTGGTGGAATTTAATTAAGAATGGAACATAAAAAAAAGGAGAGGCGGGCTGCTTTAATTTCATTAGTCAAATGAGAGGACACCCGACCGACCTCGACAGTGGAATGGCAAAAGGAATGAGAATGACAGCGACGAGGACGCGGACGTGGACGACAGGAGAACTCGGTACTTTGACGTTTGACGGCGACAGCGTTCATCTAAAGGTATAAACGAATGTATGTCCAACGGGACAGTGAGCCGGAGTCAACGACTACGACTATGACTAACAGTACTGAATGACACTTGTTTGGTTTGGTTTTTATGTATGTATATGGTCCTATCCTGTTGACGTTTGCCGAGTGACTGACAGACTGTGGCAGTGCCATTTCTGGCACAAGAGCCGCAACTTCGAAGGCACCGCTGCTGGAGCCGATGTGTGTGTGTGTGGCATGATGACAGCAGGCAAACGGGGTGTCAAACCAAAACCGGAAATAGTGCCTGCAAGTAGGCAGCAACAGCAGCATGCCACTCAAGTGGTTCCTACACCCCACCCACCATTTATTTATACATATTTCTATGTTCCTGCCCATGTCCTCCAATGTCCATTCAATGTTGTGTTCTCTGTTTGTCGTTTTGGGGCTATAAATAGCAGCAACAGCCACAGCCCCAGCCGCACTCTTTGTCTTCATTAACATGAGCAAGTCTCTCTCTCTCTCCTCTCTCTCTCTCTGTCTTTTTTCTATAGAAAAAACATACAGATTATTATTAAGCGCAACAGGAGGAGGGCCCCGAAACCACCCTTAAGTCTAACCATCTAACCATCCAACATCCAACACACAGCGCGCTCACTGAGGGAGAGTAATTTCCGTTTAGGTTCTGGCCAGAGATACGAATATATCCAGAGACCTTCCACAAAATGCCGCTGGCATGTCAATAATGTTGAAATGTTAACCCCCCCGAAAGCCTCCTCCCCTGGCCAGCAGCCCTGGAGCATGTCATGCGCCCTGGGTGCCCGATGAAGCGTGCTTTGAGGATGCTGGATGAGCTGTTCATCAGTATGCCTCAATGGTCGCACTCCAGAGGGGCTCCATCCCCGCTTCTGATCCCATACTCCTGTCTATGATGGACTGCTCCACCTGTTCAGAGTGTTAATAAAATGTACCATGGTCAGCGCGTACCTCTCTCTGCTGCCAACAAACACACCTCTCTCCTTCAGGGACATTTTTTCTTTTGGCAGTACACACACCTCGCCTGCCTGTACCACACACCTTTATCGTTTTTTGTCGGTCGCCAGGCAATGTGAATTTCCTGCCCGACTTTAAAGCTAACAAAAATTTAAACAAAACGCTTTATTCCCCAAATAGACATCAAAGCGTAAAAATACAGACAAAAATCGATGTGAAGCAGCGCGTTGGACAATAGATAATGGATGGAGGAGACAGAGACAGAGACAGGTAACGGCGTATGGCGTATGGCGGATGGCCATAGAAATCTATTTGCGTGTCACTTTCGCTCCAGTTGAGGCAGAGCTCGTAGATAGATTTTGATGGCTTCAGTGAGCACGAGAGAGCCTTTGGCTTCGGAACGGGCAGCGATGGGTTAATAGTGAGACAAAAGCTCCGACCCAACCCGAACCGAGCTCCAATGAACATTTCAACTAGGATATGCACACACACACACACATACATACATACATACATACATATACGTGCTTATATGTACGGATTCCATGGAGTATTTATCCGTAGAATGAGAGCTGCATCCATTTTGTGTTGGCTGTGCTGTTCGGGCTGGCTGGCTGCTGTGTGCGCAATTAATAGATTTTTAATGGCAGGAACAACAGCAGCCATTGCCACTGCCGCTCCCCTCTCTTGTCTGTGTGTCTGCCAGCCCCCCACCCACTTGACATCCCAATGCTCGTAGTGGCGGCGATGGCATCCCTCGAGGGCTGCGTGTTTGATTAACCGGAAGATAAACACGCAAAAGGAAGCTGTGAACAAATGAGAGACAGAGGCGGAGACAGGAACAAATTGAACTCTGGCTAAAGCTTCATCGCCATCATAATTTAATTTGGTTTGCAAGATAAACTACATATCTACAGGATATATGTATTCGTTATGTACCAGTGGAAACCAAAGATTTATGACCACTTGATGTGGGCACTAATTAGCCGCATACCAAACTCGTGCTGAATGGCCAACCAGAGTGCAGAGATTTCTCCTTCGCCTCACAGATACAAAAACTTTACACTGAACGTAAGAAACTTTTCAATCTCTGGTGCAGGAAGGGCAAAGGGGAAACCCCCCAATAAATCAAATTGCTAATAAGAAATGACTGCCAGAGATGGTCAGAGTTTGTGTGACTCCCCCAGAGGGGAATGAGCTTGGTTGAGATTTTTGTAAACCATTCGACTGGAACTGACATTGCTGACGTCAGCTGAAACATTGCAGCCAAGAAATCGCATGACGGAGGAAGAAGTAAGCGAATAAAAATAAACCAAGAAAGATTGTTGCAACACGCAGGCAGAGCTCCCCCAAAGGAATCCAAACAAAAAGGACAGGACACGCTCACCTTCTCCATCCTGGGAGTTGATGCTCTGCTGATCATCCTGACTTTGATCCTGATTGGCCGGAGCCGGACGATTGGCCTGCAGCTTGTTGAAATAGTCAGCGGCATAATCGATCACATCCGGCGGCTGCTCCACCAGATACGCAATGGAGAACTGCAAAAGGACCTCCTTCAGCTCCTCGGGCACTTGGATACGCCGACTCGAATCGCTCGACATATTTGTGCTGTGTTTCTGTTGGCAAAAAAGAGAAGAAAAATGATTTATAATTGATGTAATTTCCATTGAAAAGTTTGTTTAAATTTTCACATATTTAATTCCCTTTAAGTGCAGTTTCCATGGAAATGTGAAAAGGGCAAAAGGCTGAACCTGGGCTTTGGTGTAAGCCCCAACGCGTGTCAAACGAAGATTACAATGTTCCAAGAGATTGCGGTCACTCCGCCAGCCAAATACTCCATTACCATAGCAGCCTGAACAGTGCCCGCCGTCAACTCTTCTGTCACCAGCAACCGCATGAACTGCAATCAAACACCCCCCGTCCAACGTCCAACGTCCAATGTCCCACGTCCAACACCCGAAAATTCGCCAGATATTTCAATGCCGTCAACAGCTCGGAGTAGGATGGGGAGGCTTGGTTGGGTGCTCGTTGTGGAAAGGTTAACTCGCCGCTGTCTGTTGGTCATTTAGATGGAAATTACCCTCCAGCCGTGATCCCTCCATGGCACCTCCCGCTGCCCTTCCCAACTACATGTGGTCGCCCATCAGACATCAGCCATTAGCCATCGCCCCACCGTATCGCGTCAGCTCATGATTCAACGTTGCACAATTTCAGATTTTGGTCTTGTTCGTCGTTTGTCGTTCACCGAAAAGCGACAGACGTGAGAATCATGTTAAATTTTTGTCGCTTTACGGGTGTGTGTGTATGTGTGTGTGTGTGTGTGTGTACACCACACAAAAAACGAGTTGCAACAAATATATTTTACGAGTAATTCACTTTTATTTATATTATTCTCTCTTTTCTTTTGTTTATTTTTTTTTTTGTTGGTATAGAAATTCGAATTTTGTTGCATTTGTCGCTTGGCTTCACAGTAAATCAGTGGCTGGAACCCTCCAGTGTAACAGCAAAGATATGCGATAAATATGACTATCACATATTTTTGTGGAGTTGTAGCTAATCTCTGAATCATTCTAACACATCCCGGAGCTTAGGGGAGAGGTTTGTGGGAGCTTACTGACAGTGGATTTTGGTATTTTGGTTGTGAATGAGCGGAATGGAGCCCCCAAAGATGGTTATTTTAAGCCAGTTCTATACAAAAATTATAGGAAAATGTAACCGCAGGTTACACAAAATCACAGAATTAATGCTCCTGTCTGTGGTCCTCTTTGTTATTCATTTTTCCAGCATTTTCATCTTTACTTTTGGAAAATCAGCAAACAACTTAATTTCTTCGAAGAAACAGCATTAATATTTATAAGTTTTCTGCAAATATGCGTAATTATGTAAATTGCATATTGAGCCAATGCCTCCAGGGAGGGGGATGGTTTTTTCAAGCCCAAGAAGTGCAAGTCGCCGCACCGCCAGCCACGACAACCGACAACCGACGCCTCGTCTCGCCTCGCCTCTGCCTCAACAATTGCCCGCCCGCAACATTTCATTTGTCGTAATTTGTAAATTAATTTCTTGCCCCAGCAGCAGCAACAGCAGCGGCAGAGGAGAGCAGTAACAGTGGTTCGTTCTGTTGCGGCTGTGCCTGGAGTGGAATGGGTTTAAGGCTGCGGGATATTAGTCCTGGCTGTTGGAACATTGCTTTTGTGTGCAAAGTTTTTCAATTAACTTCATTAATATTCAACTTTGGGCCACAGCCAAAGGCCTGGCGGAATAAATAAATATTTAAAACTAATATATAATATAAAGGCTGCTGAGAGTCCTCTGGAAGCGCTCTTCCATTTCTCTATATCTCCCGCTCTCTGTCTACCTTCTCGATGCCACTTAAGTGCCACCTTCGCCACTGGCAGACCGACTGACTCTCTATGCCAGCGGCACTGATTGGTCGATGGGCGAGTAGTCATAGCTCTGGGCATTGTCTGGCAGCCATTTAGACATGCAATTAGAGTGGGTCAAGGTGGTTCACTCAACGCATTGCACGGCAGTGCAATGCTACGGCAAACTCAAACGCAAAACGTAACTGCACAAAGCAGCTATAAATAGCCGCCATGCCTCTCAAGTAATGAGACTCTGTCTGTCTGCCTGCCCCTCTGTACGCTTTGCATCTCCACCACACTGCCCCCTAGCCTCTGCATCCCCTCAAGGACAAAACTCTACGATGGTGGAAAGAAAAAACCCATAGAGAAAAAATGTAACGCTTAAAAAATGAAACGAAAAGAACGAAAGAAAAAAGTTAAAACCATTTTCATTTCCTCACAATTTCCACAGCAGCCGGAGAACCCATGGCAAGCGGAAGGTAAAGGTGCACATCTATAGATGTGTAACGTAAACTTAAAGGATATATATGTACATATATATATATATATATATGTTCTCCTTGGTAAGGCATCTTGACGCTGGCATACATATTGTTAGAGGCTGCCTCTGGAAATTGCATGTGTCTGCAGTCTTGAAGAGACTTTTCCTTTGCACGAAATTAAATCTTATTCATTTGACTCAAAAGTTATGTTTTAAGGATTCGTACAGAATGCATATAGAAACTACTCATATTTGTGCTACAGAATTTACACAAACATGGAAAATAAATACAGAAATTTAGTTTTCATTCAAAATCATTTTCTCGTAACTGTTTTCTGTTGGCTATTTTCGCTGGAATTTTCACTAACGCTGGCAAATCCAAATGCATTTTCATTTTCATTCTCATTTCCAAAGTAAAGTTTCAGTTTCTGTTTGGGTTGCCCATCCGTTGGCCTGCCATAACCTACCATTATGCGCCATCAACCCAACGTCATCATCAGGAGCCGTGAAACGTTTTTACGAGGGCGGGATTAAAGCCAACTAATTTTAACCACACCCTTCAACCCATTCGAGTGAACAGCTCAACCACAAACAGAGCACCAGGATGGATGGAGGATGGAGCCTGAGCATCCCGTGGACTGGCATTAAAATGATTATCTCTTCATTGTTACTGTGCGTGGATGGGTTGTGGGTGTGTGTGGGTGTGGGTGTTGGCTACACTAAGTGATGCATCTATGACTCCCATTTTAATGTCATTTTTACTGCAGCTACGCAGGTGGCACGCCCCTGGGTGGCCACGCAGCATAGTTCCACGCACAACTAGGAGGCAGAAAAAACATTCTTTGTAGCTCCCGTTTAATGTCAAGTTATTTGCCTAGAAAATTCGGAATTTCATAGCCATTCCGATACAGTTATCGGACCACTAATTGCCAATGGTAACTGCTATAAATCGAAGCTCTCTCTCTCTCTATCCCTCTCTCCATATCAAATGACAAATTCATCGAAAGACCTTGAGCGATATACCCAGGCACAAAACACCATATGACACAACACACACAGAGCACAGAATGGAAGGACCAACTGCTGTTGCTGTTGGGGAACCTGTTTCCAAGATTCTTCACCAGAGTCTGCTCCCAGAATCTCTTTTTGGCAGGGAAGGGACGAGGCGAGGCTATCAAATTACGTCAACAGTTCAGAATTTGGGGAAATGGGACACCTGTGCGACTGGCTTTTTTCTACACAACAACAATAAAATGACTTCATTAAGGAAGGGCCGTCATATGCGTGTTTAACATCTAAAATTTGATGGACTTTTGAGGGTACTTGCGGTACGAAGCACTCGCTCGCATTCAACAGTTGGAAAGACCTTAAACAAAGGAAAAACTTGTACTTGAAGCGACCTAATTATTATGTATGCCCCATGCCCATCCATATCGAGGGTGGGGTTGGTCATTGTCATTGACACAGAGGCAGAGGGACAAACTGACAGAGAGAGGCAGAGAGAGAGCACTACAGACACACAAACTCACATAGAATCGAACCTCACTTGACCTCCCACACAGCATAAGGCACACCCACACACACCCTACCCCCACCCATCCTCCTACAGCTATTGGAATGAGGTTAAGTGCCAGCGGCAAAAGTCAAATGACAGAAACTCTGCATGGGAAAAAGATTTCCAAGAAGAATAATCGTTGAGTAATAAATTGCGAGACAAGGACATGGGCTCAAGTGCAGTTGCCATTGTGGTTGTCCCTGTCCCTGTCCCTGTCCCAGTCGCTGCTGTTGTTGCCCCTGAAAGAGTGTCCTGCCACACACATAAATATGTATGTGAATATGTATGTTTGTACGTGCTTTCGCATTGCATATGCAAAGTGGTTAGACGCACAAGAAATGCTGCCATACCAAACGAGCAAATAAAAATCCAATTATGATGCAATTCCAACACAAAGGAACTGAGCGTGGGAGTGGGCTAAACCCTCTGATAAATGTGATTTCATGATGATAATTCATACGAGGGAATATTCATGATGCACACACAGTTTCAAGGCAAAAAAAACACACACACAAAAAAGTGCACTAAGTAAAACTGAGAGTACAAATTGTAGCTGAGGTCTCCATTTAATTGGTTTACAGTGAGAGCCAGGCTATGGCAGGCAGAAACGGATAACGAATGAGGGGAGCTGCTGCATCACGCGACAGCCCACTCTTACTTACACATATCTTCAGTTCTCTGGTTCATCTCTTCCTCCTGTCATGTAAGTTCTAGTTTTAAAAGTTTGCTGGCATCTCCCCAATGCCACCTGGTGTCATGTCCGGAGCTGTCTTTATTCTCTGCTGATATTTGGTTCCCTTCTTCCGGTCAATGCATCAAGCTGGCAGCACGAAAAGGCGAGGTTGGAGAGGTGGAAGTAAGATGTCTGGCCTCTGCGAACGGGGCACTTAATATTCGTTGACATTTCAGTTCCGGTCTCCGCCAGCAACTGAAGTGGCCCCTCAGCGGGTGGCAGGGATGTATTACGAGGGATATGTGCATATATGTTTCTGCTTATTGTGACAACAAAATATCGCATCCACATCAAAGCAATTTCAAGGCATACTTCAGGGCGCCGCCGGCACTTGAGCTCAAAACGCGCCACATGATGAGGCAAAGAGCAGCAACAGGGAGACTGAGAGAGACAGAGAGAGGTTCAGGACTTTGGGTTCGTTTCCTCTAAATGCCAGTTATATATGTATATGTTTATGTATACATACAGTCCCGCGAGTATTT